TTAACCTAATTAAAGTGATTATATCCCTTAGACACTTTTAATTAAAAACTGAATATAAAACTCGTGATTCACACGCTCATACTTGTGATATATATATATAGATAATACTGTACCTACATACAAATACAGACTGCAATTAATAGAATCAATACCGAACATGGAGCCATGGAAACTTCTTTGATTATTCTCGATGCCTCGCCAAAACGGTATTTGTTTGTTACATTTGTCATACGCTCCATATACCTTAAAAAGAATAATATGTTTGTAAAATATAAATGGTATGATAACTCCTTGCTATGTCATTGGCGCCATCGTGCCAGTAACTACCAGCGTCATAGACAGTATTATATATGAGTAGCTTTTAAATTCCATTGGAGTTACTCAACGTACGTGAGTATAAAGCAAGTTATTATGGACACAGTAATGCACAGAGCACAGCTGTGTTTTTTTAGTTATTAAGAAAATATTGTTAGGTAAACGACTTGTTGTAATCGTTATAAATAAATGTCCCTTCACCGAAAGAACACAATATATCAGTGTTAAATATAAGTACGTACCGCTAATGGGTGGGCAATTAGTTATAATTGCTTATTTACTAATATATTTTGTGACCTAAATAAGCAAGCTGCACTAACTACAGATGTTTGTATATCTACGAATATCTACATATACCTATAATATCATAAGGATTTAAAGTCAAATTTCCAATATTTTAATTCTTTATCGTAATTTCTTAATCAACATTTCGCTTGCATTAGATGATATGCCAGATGGCAGACAATGAGGACCGAAATAAAATTCTCCAATACCCACTTCACAAGTGGAACACGGCTTTAGTGAATCAGTTACAGCAGTAAGTACGTGAGGTAAGTATCTGCGTTGTTTGTTCTTATGTACAGTGAAAGCCGCACATTGTACCAAGCCTGCAACTCTTGCAACACCAACACAAGTGCGGAAGTACTGGCAATACTGTCTGACTTGTTCGTTTCTTGCCAAATGCTCACTTCGATTAAATGTGCCCAGTAGGAACGTACCCCGCTTACGTCACCGTTGGTCGGATGGCGCCATTCGTTCCAATTTAGCATCTCAGAGCTTGCTCATGAAATGCTTCTTATTTTGATCAACGGGCAATGACTCTTAATTTAGACGTCTAATGAAAATATCACTTTATTTATCTATACGCCTGTATTTATGTGATTCAATAATGAAAATACTGTGTGAATCTCATGACTTATAAATAGTACCTATTCTTGGTATTGCAACGGTCAAAAATATCATAGCTTTGTTTCATTTTGATTGGACGCTCTCTGTATGTGATTACCCCATATTTAAAATAGGACTGGTAGGTACTAGTAATTTCACCGTTATAACGAAAGATCTGTTTTTAAAATCACAATTGAAACACACATTATTTTATTCATTATATTGAATAGTATTTTGTAACTTCAGTCATTTCGGTCAAAATGGCTTTTGCCATTTTAAAGTTAGATAATACATTATTGTGCCGTGTCACGGATCACATGCCGAAACGCCCCGATTTCATACATTTGACAGTACGCGACACGACACGCCACGCATGTGCGTCTACAACCATAGCCAATGTAGGTATGAAAGTAATATTTTTCTACCTTAACACCACAATTCCCGAATTATGTGTAACAGACTTACCAAAAAAATGATGGTTCTCAAATCGGGCTGTGTTTTGTTTTTTTTTCTATGTTAGTATGTTCACCGATTTACGCCGAAGTTTTTGGACCGATTTGCCATTTTTTATGGCACCGACGCACTATCAACTTTCAGTAGTTGGGTCGTATAATTAATACTTACTTACTTAATAGTTATTTTCTGGCTTTGAGTATTTGAAGATGGTCTTTTCAGTCCATTCATATGAGAAGCAAGGATTTTTTAATGAAATATTATTTCTACCTATTAATAGACGAGTGGCAGCTGGCAACAATATAATGAATGAAGGGACGATTACAAACACAGCTGGTTAACCGAGTTTGATATCAGTTATCTACCTACATCCGTGTCGGGTCTGTCTGTGGGAGATAGGGTGAATATGTTAAACAGAATGGTTGTGGACATTCAAAATAAATATTTATTTATAGTGGGTTTTTATGCCAATCGTTGTCATTGTCCCGAGTGCGAAAACTGAACTGCCGAAATAGAAATTGCTATAAGACACAGCTTATCATCTGCAAATGAGTTTCTTCTGTTGATAGTACCTGCCTGAAGATTATTTTTGTGTAATAAAACTTCTTAATAAGCTAAGTAAAAACCTATTCGATGAAGTTTACTGACCTTATTTTTGTACCTGATTTTATGTGGGAGAGCTATGCTTCGGCACGAATGGGCCAGCTCGACCGGAGTGGTACCACGGCTTCCTAGAGAACCGGCGTCAAAGCACCGCAACGTTATGTGAGGTTACCGAAAGCCCAATCCTTTCCCTCCTCCCATCCCACCCCAATCCCAAAATATCTAAAACTCCTTTTTTATATTAAGACCTGCAACGCACTTACAACTCCTCTGATGTTGCCGGTGTCCCTGATAATGGCTTACAATCGGGTCCTCATGATACGTGCACTCATCTTCTTCGTGTCACATAAAATACCCTACTTCTTCGTAGACTCAAACACGTAGGTACTTTCATAAGTAGATAAAATATTAATGAAGGTAAAAAGGTCGTGACTAGTAACATAATATCGATGTTGGGTCGAGTCCATAAGTGGCTGGACTTGGTACATCCCTTGTTGGTACGTGTCTGTGAATCAGCGCGTGACTGCCCAGGCGCTGCGTGTGCGCAGAACGCTACACATTGTTCCAACTAAAATACAATGGCTGATGTCATACAACAACGTGATGCGTTTTAAGGGCATATAGGCTACATATAGCATCCTTTATTGTCTTTAAGAAGTCGTGGAACTGTGTCGTGGTCCTCAAAATAAATTCTACTTTACATACCTAATTTGGATCTGAAGGTTAGAGCGACGAGCGGTTAGATATAGCTTCACCTAATTGTACATGTTCGAAACTTTACGGAATTCTTAATTCAAGATGCGTCTCCCCTTAGTCTTAAAAATCGGAATTCGTAATACTTTTCTTGAATTATAATAGGCACTAAATGATCAACTGCCATTTTTGAAGTAAGTATTTAAAGACACAACTTTACTAATTAGTCTAAAGATACTTTGAGTATATAATGGATAGGTTAATCATTTTTATGCTCTATTTTCGATGACATACAATTTTAGATTGGATTAAAGATGGCTGAATTGAATGATTTAAGCTTTTTACAAAACATTTAACTTCACGTACATAATTAGGTTCGTGATGTTATTATTCTGTTGACCAGACTGTACCTACGTACTCTGAATGTCTGAATAAAGCTACTCTTTCAAACAAAACCAGCTTAATTTAATGTTGTGTAAATAGATCTAATAACTTGACACCACGATTTACATTAGACATAACTAGAGGAAACTTTGTGAGGATATTTTATAACAATGTTATTAATAACTACACGAAGCATGAGTTAAACAATGTGACCGGATAGTGCTATAGTTGACATGAACTCTATACCTACCAACAACCAGTCTACAGTAGGAACAATGAAGATTTTTAAATACCACAGAAAGCTGGCCAGTAACTACCACAGTGGACTTTACCGCATTACCTATAAAAGTAATTTTATGTCATGTATAGTGTAGCAAAATGGAACTTGTATGTTGTTTCGATAGCGCGGTGCCGCGGTTATCGAATGACCTACTGTGACTCGGCGATAGCTGCAGAATGCAAACATATCCTCGACAATAGTCTGCCACGTGAACTAAATATGTATACTGCCTAATATAACTAGGCCGGTGGTCTGAGAGAACTATATTTTAAAATAGGTACAGAATTTATTTTGGAAACTGCACCATCATGCTAAAATGTGGAACTCAACGAGACGTCTAAACAAGAATAGAATGTTCTGGAATACTATTGAACGGAGTAGAACAGATTTGATTGTGAAAAAAAGATAGGTTGCAATAATCGACATGAATGTAGAAATTTTCACCCATATAAATCATTGTGCTACTCAAAATACTTTACTACTGATTTGTAAGTAGCGCCATCTATTGGATCCTTTACGTGTCGAGTTAGTTTCTTTACGAACACAACATTGCAGTTTCCAAGATAACTGAATAATGCACAGCAAACTAAGAAGCTTTTTCAACTGTGGTAATTCGAGCCACAACAGTAGAACGCCGGCGTTCGGTTTTGTTTGGGGTTTGATGAATTAACGGTTATAAACTTCTTGAGGATAATAAGAGAGCTTTTGGTCCGAATGAAGTTTGATGAAAGTAAAGTTGCGAGATTGAAACAGAAAAAGGGTTTTAGTCAGTAAGAGTGTGACCCTCTCGCCCTACCCAGGGCGGTAGAAATAATTCGGTGATTACCCGTCACAAAAAAACTCTTCTGCCTTATTGAAGCACCCGCTTGCAGATGGAACCCTTTCATTAAAACATAAGTGAATATATGTTAACATATACGTATGTATTAAACTAATGTTAGCGCCAAACTGTCAAAATATTTCATCTAATCTGCCCAGCCTTCATAATAATATTTGTTTTTATTCTGATAAGTATAAAGTGTTACCAGAATTATCGCAACCTCGATACCGTTACCCATTTCCTAGAATAATACGACAATCTAGAATGGGTGCACACTGTTCAAAAAGAAAATAATAATAAATAACAATTGCCCCCTGTGTCAATGATCACTGAAGTGACGTCAAGGAATCTAATCAAGTCAATCAATCAATCAAGGAAGATAACCACAATATGTTTACGAAAATCTCTCGATGACAACTTTATACCTAGTTTATTTTGTTCATGTGAGTTTTTCTCAGTCAGATTAGCACCTAGTAGTTGTAGCAATGTGAATATGCACGCTCATTGTATCAAAGTAGTAATATATACCCAATAATTAATGTTACAGATACGTAGCGTGGGAGCCTCATCTTTATTTATATTTCTCGATAAACTTTATAGGAATGGACTTAATAATAGCTACAAATCACTCCTTCTGCACCTACTTATTATCCTTTTATATTGGTATCTCATAAACAAGCACTCCAGTCTAAGTGGATGTGTTGATAGCATCGTCTCCTCAACGTTGATTAGATTGTCAGCGATGACGAGTATCACTCACTCTTTTATATAAGTAACACTTGTCCTCTGTCCTCTTGAATTGTTCCACGACTTCAATTGCTGTCAAAGAAGCATTGTTTTGAGATTGTGTTTAAGAAAATACAAAGTAAGGATTCAAGTCAATTTTTCAAGCAAAAATTATACACAAAAGCTCTCTATTATCTGTTTTTACGGGTTATTTTTCAATTGTCGCCTAAACATAATAATTTATTCGTTCGATTATAGTAATTAGGTACCACATATCCTGTGTAGTCGTGCCCAGTTCTTGTTTGTAACTATTGGTAGTTAATACCAAGTAATAAACTTATTGTTCAGTCCTTCCTGGTATCTCTACCGAGTTGCAGCTAATATATAATACCTTGATTGCAATTACAGATTGTATCAGTGGCACCTACACGGGTCATTAATGTCGTGGGACAGATATTACAGTGCAGAGATCAAACTAGAGTAGAGGAGCAAAGAGGTACTAGACCGCTCAATTCATCACAGTAGGTATTAAACGATTTCTAAATGGTGTCATTCAGGTCATGGCGAAGGCAGGTCAATTGCTCTGTCCCAAATACAGCTCTTTTGTTCTATATTATTGCCGCCAATGCGACAAAACGTCATAAATTCGATTGAAAATCAAATTAATGATGATTCGATTAAGCAAAGTTAATTTGTTTATACATACGAATACAAATTAGTTGGTATTTAAATGTGAATTGGTACTTGCAAAGCATGGATCACCGTATCTTTAAGATAATGATAAAAATAAATTAATGAAGCAAGAGATTAAAAATGGCTACAAACCTTGTGGATAAATTGAGGCTTTCGTTTTATACGTCGAAGCAAGTTTCACGTGAGAAAATGTTTTGTAAATATAAAATAAAATAAAGTTCAGTTTTGTGTAACGAAAGGCTAAGTGCACAATGCGAGTGGGTCGCGGCTCGAGTCGCGACATAAGGCGGGTAGGCCAAGGAAGGAGTGCCTATGAGTCACGCCAGTGGCGCCCACGCCTTTTAAACTTAAATTTTATAAGATAGATGGAGCTATATAACTGCAGTCTATTCCTACATTATCGCAATTGATTATAAAGATTATGCCTCGTGTGTTTATGTAACATCCTGTTCTATACTATAGCAGAATACATTTGGTACCTAATTAAAATTGACTCATTCTAACAATAATTATTTAATCCTAAAAATGGGTAAGTAGGTACCTACCTACCTGTGTCTTTTTTTGATTTGTTTGTATGTGGGCGTAACCATTTTGGTTGGCGTAGGTGGAATTTATAACTATGTATGTGTATGTACTTACTGCATAAATGGTTGAATACACTGACCACTGATGTCCACCTGTAGATAGATAACTATAATTCCTTTTTAGTTCTAAGCGACTTCTCACAAAACTTGCTAAGCAAGTTATGATTGCAAGTTATTGCGATGTCACGGTAATACAAACTGGCACCAACCAGTCATCCTCATAAACCGTGTGTATTAGTTTCCTTTCTTAATTCTAAGACGGTTACGGTTGCGCCGGCGCCGCAGATTCGCTACGCGCCCACATCTCCTATAATTGTAAGCCAAGACCAAATAAACCAATAGGGAGCTTGCTTGATAACGCTGTCTGTGAACAAAAATTCTTGTAGATACCTACTTATAGTTTGTATGCTATTAGAACAGTCAAGAGCAATTTCAATCGACAGTCAACATGAACATGACGGACGTGTTTTAGCGTTCGAAACAGGTAAATAGCAAGGAACAGTAATGTAGAGCATTATAAAACGCATAAAGGATTTACTTACTTACATGTAAAAATAAACCAAATTAATGGCTTTCCGTCGGCTGACAACGCAACTGGGTAGCGAGTTCGTATGAGAGTTTCTTATAGGGACTAGTAATGTAGGTACGCTGACAAAGAGATCCGTAATTCTGAAAATAATTCCCGCGTTTCTTTTGTACTAAATGTTGTCTTTACCTACTCAGTGAATAAGTAAATAAGTAAACAGGAAAACAATGCTACATCAGAGTATTTATCGAAAAAGGGCGTTGTTTGAACAACTAATTCAGGTTATACGCGCTAGAGGGCGGGACGGTGCACTGCAGCTCGGTGCGCAGGCGAACGGCACGTGATCGCCAGCGCAGCAGCCTTGCAAGGACGTTGCGTCTATGCACAGGCAACTATCGTTAATTAATTCCACCTTCACGCTGACTCACTCGCTAACATCACTAAGTATATTATACCTAAGTACGTTGAAAATATTTGCCGATAAAACAATACTGCAGCGACCTCTATGTTTATATTATTGAATCATACTTTTTTCTTTAACCTGTGATTCGGGCGAGTAGCCTTGGTTTCGATTCGGAGAAACGTCACTGAACCAGATGTTGGGTATTTCCCAACATGGTTATTATGGGAATTAGTGGTTTTGATGTCCAATTTTATATTTATAATATAGGCTTCTTTACTTGATTAAATAGTACCTACCTATTTAACACGAGTGTAGCGTTAAAGAAACAGTTAGTTACTTTAGCTGCTTAAAAGTTTATAACATAACGGAGCCAACGATAACATTTTCCTGGTCAAAGCTCAAAAGGAATCGTACGCTTACGATGCTTCTGCGAAATGTTGACTCAACTAGGTAGGTAAGTCTATACCTACCGATTGCTATGCCGTATGCGAGTTTCGTTACAAAACCGTTTTGGTATTCAATAAACATCTTTATGATATATGACTTCTAAGTAAGTTATAAATCAACGGTTTATCTATGTAGGTACCTACATGTGTATGAAAGTTAGAATACTTATAAGAGCTATTTGTGAAAGGTCGTTAGTCATTTTTGGACTTTTGCAGTCCCTATGTTGAGATCTTCAATTGTACTAAGCATTAGAAAAAGCAAATAAACATCACGCAGTGGTTTATAGTGCTTCTACTTATATCCATAGAAAGAGAACCAAAGATATTGAGTATATACATAAATTTATGTATACATAGGTATTTTACTTAGTTGTTTTAATATAAAAAATCAATAATTCGCTCGCCAGATGTCGCTTTGTCCAATAGCTGATGCTGTCAAAAGTTTAACTTCCAATAGTGTTGCACTGGCTAATTTCTTATTGGAAGAAGAAGAAATTTGGCGCCATCTGGTGGATAAAGATAAAGATAATTTAATTTGTTAAAAAAATAAATAAAACGGTTGTCCCCTTTACAAATTCTGAATAGAAAAATCCGAATCAAATAATATTAAAACGGATCTTGAAAGTTATCGTTACTTACAAAGATAAAAATTCGATTTAAAACGAATTACTTCGAATTTGACATAAATTATTTTCATTTATCGACTTATTATATTGATATAAAATGTAGATATGAAATTGAACGGATGTTATGAATAATATGACCAATTTAAATAAGTTAACATCTAAAGATTAATACATTAATTTTACGATTAACGATAACAACAATAAGTTAGTTATCGGCAGGTTCTAAAATAATTTAGTTTTTTCCGTTACAGTAACAATACAGATAAATAATGGTCATAAATTAAGCTTTTACACAACAGGTTATTGCAAATTATTTATTATGTTTTCGGCTTACTCACGTAATAATTTGACGAGATACTACGAAAGAATTTGACGAGAGAATATGGGCCTCTAGCATGGCTTGAAACTAGTCGAGTATCTCGTCAAATTATTACGTGAGTAAGCCGAAAACATAATAAATAATTTAGAATGTCTCACGAAAGTTATAATAAAAATACAGGTTATTGCACTTTACACGACAACTCCCAAGTTATCAAAGGGGGTGCCATTTTTTGTGCATGTTTCTCATGAATAAGAGTCCCGTTGTGCCTTGAAACTAGTAAAACTTTTCTCAGTTAATTTGTTTTCGTGAATTTCGTATGTCTCAATAGTTACCATTAAAAAAATCAACAACAACGTTTCATCACAAAATCTATATTCCTTGTATTGCGTAAATATAAAAATGACCTCGTTTCTATATTACCCAGTCAGTAAAACTATAAGGCCTGTTAGAATTGGTTCTAGCCTGCGAAAATGCATTGGAGTGTTAGTGTGAGCATATGCACCTTGGTATAAGTTCACAGCCAGGTTCTAGCATAGCTGTCCCGTGAATCACCGAGTGGTGTGAAGGTGCGCGACTTTCGCATATTAATACACATCCAAATGCGTCGTGTCGTGGTCGGCGTCGTCTGCGCTATTTACGTGTGAGCGCTATTCCCGGCCGAGCCAGACGCCCGCCGCGGCGCCGGATCATGCATAGCGAACTCCTTAACACGCACTTCACCTTTATCCCAAAAAAAACGCGCCTTTGATCTAACAAAACAAAATCTAATCCAGCTTGACGCTTGCGCGCTCTAATTGCTCATGTATTTGCTTCAGGATACTCGCTAAAAACAACATTTTATTCAGCATCATCGATCGAAATTCTGATGCGTTCTAAATTGCATCTAATTTTAAACAAGCTCCTAAGCAATGCATACCTTACACTGATGTAACATTTTGGGTACGTCAGCAACTATTTTCTTATGAAATGAAATGCTATTTCGGGATCATGAATGAATAACAGTATCTAAAGAAAAACTAGATATTACCATAAGGTAAGGTTTCAAACCAGTTTATTTGAGTACCATGATATTACAAAATGACACTGCTTTACAAACTAACCTACGTACAACGTAACAATATCAATTACTTGACAAAATACACGCGTCTGGAAAATCGACGACGTTCGGATAGGCATAGGGCATGAAAAATATTCATAAATAAGAAAAATTAAAATTATCTTTGAACTTAATAGAGTGCTTTCTTCCAAGGAATCAATAAAACGTTTCAAGGTCACTTCGTTGTTTTCAGTGGAGTTTGTAATATATAACATTTTATTATAGACATAAAGAAAACTCGCGTTTGAAGAAATTAAAAGAAAACTCATATTTAAATAATTTCAACCACCATTTAGTAGTCATTACTCCTTCTCTTGCCACGAGTCCACGAGCTTGTCGTCGAGTTTCCGAGGTGTATACAGAGGGCGCTCACACGTTATTCCGACGATAGGCAGTGTATATAAAGGCCATAGTTCTTACAACTCGTTAACGATGAACAATAGTGCGGTATCGCCTTAACAAGAGGAACGTACATCCACACACAATATTCATGACTTGCCTAACACAAAGTTTTATCTAGCTAATTACCGCCTAATAGCAAATTTTGATTACATTAAAATATCGTCCCTGGTTTTACTTAAAACAGTTTTAATCTTTTTAATTTTTTAATGTGATTAGTTGGTACACAGCAAGTCATGACTTCTGTAATATCAGATCATCTTAAACCACTATAACTTCCATACATTAAAATATTACGTCGAGAAGGCATGTAAATTACAATATGACAGTTACATCAGCCTTCTCTGTATTAACCACAGCCTACAAAAACTATACAGATGGAAAATAAATTAATAAATAAAACTTTTTGCAAATAACTCGTTACATTTAATTGCACACAGTTTACTGATTTTGTTGTTCCATGTTCATGCACTAGTTTATGCGATCATTTTAAAAGTTAGTATAATTTTATACATTACAAATTAATTCTCTTTTGACCGAATATAAAACTAGTTAAACATAATAAGTACCTTGTTTAATAAGTGCAAAACTGGGGCAAATACATATTTAAAATTTGTTCCTAAATTAACAACTTGTTATTCATTGTAATACGGAAGAGGAGAGATAATGGCTTTCCGTCAGAACTATTATTAAATTTATGGGAGGAACAAGTTCAAGTACAATGTGTTTCAAATTAAAATAGTTTCGATTTTCCGCCATGTAATGACGTCTGTCGATTTCAATTAATTACATGTAGGCAAAATAATTATAATAGTTGATCGATTGTCCCTAACATTAATATCGTAGAATTGACCAACTATTAATTTATTTTTAGAGTAATATAAATAAATTATTTTTCATATAAAATGTTCCTCTCCTATTATTATTTGAAACACATTGGATTATAAACGGATTATAAAAACGGTTTAATATTGTTTGTTCAAATAATATTTTTGATAAAACTAGTCAAGCAAAAAAACTAAAATAGCACATTTTTCGATGATACACAATTAATAAATTCGCAACACGATCGTATACAGATAAAATAAAATGTTATTCGGTAGCACTTACATATACTGCATTTTCATTTTATCGATTAGTACCTAGTACATTTATTTTATAATCTTAGGTAATATTAATATTAAAACAACATAATTATGATAGTAAGTAGTTAAACTACGAATTTAATAAATTTTGTAAACGTTACATTGACAATAAATAACAATTTATTTTTTTCCTTGAGCTGTTAATATGTTTGTCAATTAGGTACATTTTATAACAGACGCATGCATAGAAAACGCTTTGGAAAAACTGCCATATTTTTATTATTTAAGGATTCACTGGGGAAAGCTTAAGCCACTATTTTTTTTAAGGTTTTTAGAATCACCATCTCATCACAAAAACATGTACTCACTATCTGTTTCAGATCAAGTTTTAAAAAACTCCAAATTAATAAGCTTTTAATTAAAATCGGACACTGTTCAAATGTTTCTTTTTTTTCTTTCTTTAATGGCAACCGAGTCTCCAATTTCATGTTGAATTAAAATGTTATTGTAGCTTGTAAGTTGTCTTCATAGCGTTAAGTAAAAAAAAAACTGCTTTAAATAGTCATATTGACACTGGCATTGTTTATGGCCATCTTTTTTGTGATGAGGAGGTTCGTACAACAGATTATTTTTGGTTTCATTTTCACAAAATTATATTAAAAACACTACTGAACCTACTAAATGTTCTTTTTTTTGTTTTAAGGTTATTGTGATTTTTTTGTGTTTATTAATTTTCTTTGACATTAAAAATGTAGGCCCAACGTTATAAGGTTATATTTACCACCCAGCAGGCAAATATTTTGTATCGTTTAACTCTAATGAGCTAGTAAACCATAACTAATCTAATATTTAGTTGTAACAGCAGTTGATAGTGAGTACCGTGTTTTAATTGCACTTCGTTCGACCTGAAATACAATAAAGACAGTATTTTAAATGTTTACTTTTTTACGTACATTTAACATAATTATAAATATGATAGCGTGTCTTCATTTAAATATTTGAAATCTGAACAAAAAGTAAATAATTTTGTAAATTCTGAATGGTTGGTTGTAGAGAAAGAATATGAGAAAAATATATTGGACGAATACCGAGTACAAATTGTTAACCGGTTTTATGAATATAAAGGTATGGTAAAAAGTTTTTGTGATACTAATTATTCGAAAAATATGGAATATAGTAACAAAATAGTGTATGAGACGAGCAGTGGGAAAACTCGATACTGTTTAGAGCTCATTTAACGTAAACAAATTCTCATGTCGTAGGCGGCTCAAGAGAAGGCGGGACGAACATGACGTGTATGAGGAGGTTGGAGGATTGGGAGGCCTTAGCCCAGTAATATTGTGTTTTATGTGATAGGCTGCGATAACGAGCCGACGCGACGGATTACCTGATGGTAAGCAATCACCGCCACCCATGGGCAACCGCATCAACAGACGAGTTACAAGTGCGTTGTCGACCTTTTGGGGACTAGGGAATTGGATATTTAGGGATTGGAGGAAGGAAAAGAGTGGGCCTGTGGTAACGTCACTCACACGGCGAAACAAAGCTGTGATTGTTCCACGCCGGTTTTCTGTGAGACAGTGGTATTACTCCGGTCGAGCCGACTCATTCGTGGCGAAGCATAGGTCTCCCACAATTAACTTAAGTAGTAGGAGGATCCTGTCTTATATTAGAAAAATAATAGATAATTAAGTGTACCTGTATTGTCAGGCGAGGTAGGCCCGTACGAGAGCGCGAACCGGCGCGCGACAGAGCGGACAGGCGCCCAGCGCGGCCCCGCATCGTGCGCACGAAACTAGATGCCCGCATGGCAGGAATACTACGCTCACCTGGACCACAATACAAATACTTTTAACATCTTTACACTTAGGCTTTTTAAATTACTTCAACTCAAAAAACCTTAAGATTATTCAAAAACAATCACACGTTCATTAATTAAATTATACATTTAATTTTCCTTTTTTGTTTAGATTATATAAAGTATGTAAAACATTTTAACGTCACAACGTGCCATTTCATATAGAATTATTAGAATTTTTTTTTGACATTTCGAAAAAAGTATTGAATTTGACAAGTACTACTTTATATATTAAAAATAACCATATTTCATTCGTTGCTTGAACTATATATACCTACTTAGTTTTTTACCTATTTTGTCTTACAAATTACTCCGTGTATCTCATACAAAACTCATAGAAGAGTATCGTTTTGGTACTTGAATTTGGCAAGTAGTTAAGTAGCCGGGCTAATTGGGTAGTTTCCTAGGTCAAAAATAAATTATTTCGACGTTTCAATACAATAAAATATTGAAAAATAACTATACTTTTATTCATCGATCGATCGATACACTAATTTTTAGATTTTTTTTAGCTAATTATTAAGAAATAAGTAAGCCATTTGACGCAAAAAAGTTATGACGTCATAGCTCAGTTTTTCATACAAATTTCATAGAAAAGTATCGTTTTTGACGTTTGGATAAAAGTATTGAATTTGACTAGTTGGAAACTAGCGTATTGTACAGGTAGAAGATATTTAGAATACATATACATATTTGATGGATATTTGGATGAATATTTGCTGATACCGTAAAATGAGTCAGATACTACCATCTGTGGTGTGTCACCGAGCTGGATTCGAACATATCTTTTTTGTCGTACCATAAAATAGAACAGAAAATAGACTATGAAGCCCGCCCTTTGTCTGTCTGCATGACTAATGTCGTATGTGTAATGGGGAACTTAGTACAAATTTAAAGACAGAGTACTGGGCTTATTTTAATAATCTTATGAATTTTAACAACCGAAGTAAAAGAGATTTCATTATATTATTAAGAGATAATTTGGCGACAATAATCACAATTTCCTATTTAGATTTGTGATCTATGTACGATTTGTAATCGTATTATAATAGGAATATTAAGTAGTATGTACTTAATATTCCTATTTAGATTTGTGATCAATCAAGAGGAATAAATAAATTTACTGTTTGTCATAAAATCATACAAAAATGAAGTATTTTTAATTTACGGAACAAAAAAATTGACTCATTTGAAACTAATTTATTAAGTCAATTGATAATAATTGTCGGATATTAAGGGTACAAACTACTATGTCATGGTCATCTCTTCTCCATTTTCTCATTTAGCTATGAACCAAGACTCAAGGACAACTAAAACTTAGATAGGAAATGCTTAGATAATTTACTATAATTATAATAAAATGCTAAAGTGTTTGTTTTGTTGATTGAGCGCGCTCAGCTCTGGAACAAGGGATTCGATTTTCTGAACTACATTTTTTCGAAAATACTTTTATTTTGGAAAACATTGATTTTGAAAAAATATTACATTAGAATAAGTAGGAGCCGAGTCGCGGGTACGAAAGTAATTGGTAAAAATAGAACATACCTCACAATCCATGCACACTTTACATAATCTAGCTTCTTTCAGCTGTCTATTCTCTTCTTCTAGCGACAATTTCTTCGTCTCCGGCGCAGGCGACTCTTGCGCACTGTCATTATCACTTTTAACTTCAACTTTAGGCTTAGTTGCAGTATTACTATTATCTACGTCCCTTGCAGGTGACCGTCTGGCTTGCTCGCTAGTGCTGTAAGGCACGCCACTATTATCAACGTCATTCTCTGAATCATCATCGTCATCAGGGGTCATTGACCGAGCAGGACTACTGCTTTGGTCGCTTCCGTATGGACGGGTTAGTAAGGCAACATGTTGAGATGGAATTCTGAAATGTTAATTAGAAGAAGATTATTAGAAGATGTATGTGTTGTTTAGATTTTCAATATTTAATTTGTTTGCACATAGTGCTCTACAATTTTATCGGGAACTTATATGAAGATAGTGTAAGAGGTGCTCATCAAGATGGAAGAAAATTTCCACAAATACTTTTAATATGACACTGAGATTATTGCAAAGAGGGAATATTATATTAGTTTGAAGATTCAAGCTGTAATGGTTTCGCATAATTAATATGTAATTCTAGATACTAAGTGCTATGGTATGTCTTTAAGTATGTGTGCTGATACATGATGATGAGAATAAATAAAGTAATAGTAAAGAATATTTTCTAAGTATCAGGTTTTATAAATCACTATGAATACTAACCCAGATCTTGGTGCAAATTCTCTGAACGTTTCAGAAAGTATGTCCCGGGCGAGTCGACTCTGTGGCGTCATAGACCAGGGCTCTTCGTTGAGCTGGTCGTCTAGGACGGCGTCTATCAATGCCTCTGAGGATGTGAAAGGAGTACCTGGACAAAAAAGCATAACGTGAGTGCTTTTAGTTTACTTTAAGTATGTGAAAAATATTGTATTTTTAACTAGACAAGTTCAATACTTTTATCCAAATGTCAAACGATAATTTTCTATTCCTCTTTGTATCATGAAACACTGAGTTATGGCACCATAGTACTTTTGCATCAAATAGCTTATTTCTTAAAAAATGCCTAAAAATATCTAAAATTTAGTGTATCGATTGATTGATGAATAAAAGTATAGTTATTTTTCAATATTTTATTGTATTGAAACGTCGAATTAATTTATATTTGACCTAGGAAACTACGAAATTAACAACAACATTTCATCATATTGTTACTATGTTTTTAAGTAAATTAAAATGTTTGTGCGCTTTAATATTCTGTTTTAATCTGGCTACAAAAATAATCCATTGGCAATTAAGTGCCATTATTAAGGAAAATGATGTCAAGACCTGTTTTAATTAGGATAACTAACAGTTGACTTTATCATCCTGACCTGTATTGAGTTTTTATGTTTCGTCTTGAGAGCCATTTTGCTGATTTAAGTCCTAAAAGTTTATAAGTTGCATATTTGATGCTACTATTATATTATAAAGAGAAAATATTTTGTCTGTATCGAATTAGCTTTGAAAATAAAGAACCGATTTGAAAAATGTTGTATTAGGGTAATTTTTTATTCCTTTATCATTTCTGCTCATTCTGAATACAATTTTTCAACTGTATTTAAAATTACTTCCAAGTATTTTTACAGCACATTCAAGCGTAAAGTTGTCTAGGTAGAATTCCTGTTAAAGTATATCTATCTATCATATACATTTAATTAAAAGAACATGGGGTGGCCATACTATGATTTTCTTCTCTTGAGTGACTGCGAAATCGCACAATTTGCACAGGTAAACAGTTACAGTTTATAGCTATAAAAGTAAATTGTTTAGGGAACATACCAACAGTTCGTAATCTGTTCGTTATCGCTCGTCGCACGCGCGCCGCATCCAATCCAGCTCCTAAAGCCGCCGCCGCCATTGTACTTTCCATACATTCTTCTACCTGTAAATAAAAATGACTTTTACAACAACTTAATTGAAAGGTATTTTGTTAATTGATTCTCAACCTAATCCTGTTTCAATACAGTTGAAAATCTATTAAAACACATAAAAAAAAAAACAAAGATCTATTGAAAAATATCTTCATATCAAGTGTTGTAGTGAGCTAGCAAATAAAAAGAAACATTTGAAATTGCAGTGCTTTTCGGTCGTTCGCTCGTGAAGCATTCGTTGGTGATATTCATTTTTTAATTTTTATTTTCACAGGTCAATGACATGGCTTTTATGTAACGAAGGAGCGACTCTTCTTTTACTTTTTATGAGACCCATACGGCCCTATTAAAAAAAGGTTTTTTTTTGTATTTTAAATCAAAGGTAGGTGAGAATAAGATTCAAAAATACACAACCTGACACAAAACATAACTCTTGCTTTGTAATAAGGGGGATAGTATCGAGATGAGATACTTAACAATATATAATTTTCTTACCTGACTTTCTGTGATAGGAAAGCTTTCACCATTTCGTCGTCTCGCATTGCGTCCGGCTTCAGAATACTGAAAACGCAAGAAATGCGAATTAAATTCTGCGATGATAAATACTCTTTAACAATTTACTACTGCGTGATTTTACTGATATATTGTTTCTCAAATATGACTTATAAAATTCTTTGCAAGTAGCCTATTCTTTCAAGATGTTGAATTATGTATTAAGTGTATATTGATTGCATATAAGCACTTCCGACTTTTATGGGATAGGACGGCAAACGAGCAGATGATAAGCAGTCCGCGCCGCCCATGGACACCGGAGTGCGTTGCTGACCTTTTGGGGATAAGCATTTTGGAGATTTAGGGATTGGGAGAGGGGAATAATGGGGCCTCCGATAACCTAACTTACACGGCGAAACACAACGCTGTTGTGTTTTTCATCACTTCGGTCGAGTCGATCCATTCGTACCAACTTTTAATCGATCCATTCGTACCGAAGCATGGCTCTCCTACACTTAAACCAGTTGTTTACTATCATGTGATCCATCAGATATCTTTCGCCATAAAAGAGTAAAGTTACAAGTTGTATAAAACACTTACGCTAACAGTTCTTTGTACAGACGTCCGGTTGCGGCAGGTGTCGACAAACTCTTGTCCCTTCACGAGTAGTACGTATCCGCAGTGAGGGAACCAGTGCGCATGCTCCGACCATGGAGTGTCACCAGTTTCCCATTTGCCTAGACCACCGTCGCAGTAGAAACAACGCACCTGGAACATAAATATACATACTTTTTACAGTCAATTCGAAACTTTGGAACGACCGCCTAGAGAGAATAGACTGATGGACAATTAATTATATTGTGACATTCCAAAAACGCTTATGTGTAGTTTAATTGAAATAGATTTTAGTTTGACTTTATATAAATTTAAAATAAAATTGATTTGCCACGACGAAACATATGTCATACAAATGAAACCGAGCTTAGGTCAATAACCTAGAACCTTTTTGAACTAGACCTTATGTGGACGGTTTTGAGTCAGTAAGAGATTAAATTATTACCCCCTACAAAAAAAAAAAAGAATGAGGTTAGGTACCCACAATGTTATATGATAAGTACAAGCATTTTAGCCATTTCAACTACACCAAAACACTTGGTGATAAAACCATTATTAGTTCATCAATTTTTTTTTTTTTTTTTTATTTCTTTATTTTTATTATAGAGGGTTTAATCACAAACTGATTATGCCACCCTCATCGGTATAAACAAATCATTCTTACGATCTAAAACCTATCTTAACTAATTTATATAAGTTTCTTGCATCCTTTGATAGAGGTGACGCAAGAATACTGTTGCTTTTGCCAACATCCATTGAGGTAGGTATTATTGACCGACGTTCGGCCTCATTCCGGACACACTCCATCAGGATATGATATGTGTCTTCCACTGTATTACAATCCGGACAATTTGGTGAAGTAACTTTACCCATAAGAAACGCAAAACTGTTCAATGGAATGTGTCCCGATCGAAGCCGAAAAGCCATTACAATTTCTGACCGGCTAATGTTGGCTCGGTCGAACCATGTGCCTCGAGACAGTGTGGGTTGAATCGTCCGATACCAGATTCCTTTGCTCAGCGATCTCTGGTCGAAGTGCTCTTGCCACATTTTACAACTTTCTTCTCTTACTGCGTACAGAAGATCATTGGGCACAGGGAGATATGGGCAAACAAATCCAACGTTACATGCATCCTTTGCCAATCGATCTACTATTTCATTGTCCTCCAAGCCAACATGAGCCGGAATCCATTGAAGAATAATTTTAATTTTCTTAGAAATAAGCTTATTTAATAATTTAATCACATTATATGCAATCGGAGTGCCTCGAATATTTGTGGTACACCGAATTAAATGCTGCAGGGCGCTCTTTGAATCACAAAGTATAACATAATTGCCGCTTTCAAATGAGTCAACGTACGATAATGCTTCTTCTATTGCAACTAGTTCTATATACATAATGTTACATCTTGCGTTGACCTTTAATTGCACTCCCGTTTTAGTTTGTGGGTCAAAAAACGCCGCTCCAGCCCCTATATTATCTTTGGATCCATCTGTATATATTTTATAGAAACCCGAGTAGGTGTTCATTAAAATCATAGTACATAAATCAACAAGTTCAGTATTTTGATAGTGCTTTTTAGCCGAAACCAGACCATCTATTTGGGGAAACACAATTTGAGACAGATCTACTTTATTCACCCAGGTACTCATTGAAAAAATTTCAATCATCGGGCTTGTGTAAACAGAAAGTGGATCCAAAGATTCGTGTATTTTAATTAACAAAGGCATTTTTCTTTTCCAGTGTGAATGTTGACAAGATACTTGTAAATCCTTTATAACGGCAATGATGTTATTATCCGCGTATGATTTTATTTTAAGCCAATATTTACCCGCCAGATAATATCTTCGAAGTTTCAAAGGCGTCAGGTTCAATTCATTTTCCATAACATGAATGGCTGTAGTTCTAATAAAGCCACCGATAACCCTCATGGAACTGTTTTGGACCCTATCTAGTTTACTAAGGTGTGTTTCACAACTGCTATCATAGAGGAAAGAAGCGTAATCGATTCTGCTTCGAATTGTTGTGATATATAACCGCCTCAGATGCTTAGGATGTATTCCCCAACCAGAACCCGACAGAACTTTAAAGATATTTAATAATTTTAACACCTTTGCCCGGGTCTCATTGATATGTTTAGACCACCTAAGTGATCTATCTAGCCAGACTCTCAAATATTTTACATTGTGTACCACTGGCAGCAATACCTCATTAATTTTTAAATTGACAGTCTCTTTTGCAACACCATTCTTAAAAATACATACGCTAGTTTTGTTAGGAGATATCTCAAGACCTAAATTGAATAACAGTTTATATATTTTGTTTAAAGCGGGTTGTAATCTTTGCTGGGCTGAGAAGACATCACTGCAAGTGGTATACAACACAAAGTCGTCCGCATATTGCGACAAATATACATCCCTACTACCACTATTACAAATATCCATAGTTGCAATGTTGAAGAGTAATGGTGACAGCGGATCACCTTGCGCCAATCCCCGACTAGATGTACGACTTATAAGTTGGTTACCTATTGAAATTTTGAGGTTTCGAAGCTTGAGGAAATTTTTTTTTTTATTTTTTTTTTTATTTAAACTTCATGCACAATGGGTACATAGGCGGACTTAATGCCTAAGGCATTTTCTACCAGTCAAACCTTGGGTGATGCAGAGATGAGCCAATGGTCGGTGCAAGAAGCAAGCAAACGGCTTAACTTTAAATCTGATAAGACATACGAGATAGATATATGTGCGTATTATTAACGTACACGTTACTATATTCCTAATATATACCTACATTCATACTCAAATTATATTATATAATAATAAATAACTGCTACATATATATACTATATACATACATAAGTATACTACATACATACATATACTATATACATACATATACTAATACTTATTAATAATAATGTATGGTGGTCACGATTTAGCCAAACCTTTCAATAAAAGCTCACGAACCTTTTGTTTAAAATTCCAAATGTAACTACAGATCCTTGATCCCATACCAATTTTCTGCATGATTTTTAGTAGGCTTTTGATATCTACGTAATTATATGCGTTACTTATATCTATGAAAACAGCCGTTGTAATACATTTTTTTCGAGAAACCAATTTGAATTCGGGATACTAGGACGGTCAAATTATCCACAGTTGAGCGACATTTTCTGAACCCTGTAGTGCTATTTGACAGGAGCTTATGTTTTTCTATAAACCATTCTAATCTATTCATTAAAATGTTATGAAAAACCTTACAAACGCATGAGATCATTGAGATAGGACGGAGAGATGATAAACTTTGGGCGTCTCGTCCCAGCTTAGGGATTGGCACAATTACAATATCGCGCCATTGCTTAGGTACAAAACCAGATGTTAGTATCTTATTATATAACTGGATTAAAACCTTTTGACAATTTTGAGGTAACCTCTTAATCATGGAGTATGAAACATTGTCGGCTCCGGGCGCTGTATCTTTCGACCGGATACATTTTTGAAATTCTGATTTGGTTACCGGTACTTCAAGTTCCGGATTATTTATGTCGAAAGTCATGTCATTCGGGGATACAAAGTCTGGCGTTAAACTAAAAAGTAACTCAGTAGCTTTTTGTTCATCTACGTGGTGGTTTGAAAATTTATACCCCTTAAACCATCTCATTGTTTGCCATGCGGTTGATTGAGATGTCAAACCGTCTAATGAAGAACAGAAGTCGGCCCACCCTTTACTTTTAGCTATTCGTATCAATTTTTGAGATTCGCGAATGTTACTGTGTATGAATTCATAATTTTGGGGGGTTGGATTACGCCTAAATTTAGACAACGCTAGCCGGCGTTCAGCCACACATTTCGATAACTCAGGCTTCCAATAAGGTTTAGGTAAAAAACTACTATCGGGGTTGGGGTTTATCTTAATTAGAGGGATATGAACATCAGAAGCCAATTTTATGTAATCAATGAAGGTGTCATAGTCAGTCTGTAAGTCTCCGGAGAATGTATAATTTGAAAAGAGGATGTTGAGTAGATCAGTGTATGCAGTCCAATCAGCATTTTTGAAATTTTTGCGAACCTTTGTTGGGGATACAGCTTGGATGTTTGAAGAGATTTTAATAACCCTGTGGTCACTGCCTAGTGTCTCATTCATAACTGACCAGTCGAACTGCAGTGCGATGTCAGATGATACCACAGAGATGTCAGGTGAGGACTTTTGCCATTCCAAGTTAACCATTTTTAACCGAGTAGGATCGCCGGTGTTTAAAGTAATAAACTGATTGTCTGTTAATGCTTCAAAAATTTGTATACCCCTACTATCTACTCTATTTGACCAATTAGAATGATGCGCATTAAAATCACCTAGAATTACCGTGTTTCTTGGAGCAAAAGAAAAAAAGGGCATCCCAATCATTTTGGGAAGTTCTTATGGAAGGGGGACAGTAAATAGACACAATATTTTGTATCGGTCCACAGTTAAATACTTTTAAACAAATAAATTCTATACCTTGATTACTGAGTTGGACTTCATACAGCTGAGATCTTATAGATTTATGAGTAAGAATTGCAACCCCCCCGTAGCCATCAAACCTGTCCTTCCGGAAGATTGTGTAATTGCTCAGCCTCATATCACTTTCATTCTCCAGCCACGTCTCACTAATCGCAACAATGTGTATGTGTTCTTGGTTCAGCAATTGTTCCAACAAAATTAATTTAGGTTTTACGCTTTGCGCATTCCACTGTATCATATTTAGCTTAACGTTAGGTTTATGTTTGTCCATTGAAAAGTTCAAATAATTTCTTCACAATATTCCAATCCGACACGTTATCAACTACAACTAAGATCAGCCATTCTAAACAACATTGAATTGCCATCCGAATTTTTTCCCCTACCGTGCATCTCTTCAAAAACAGTATATTTTTCAGTCTAGTTAACAGCTCATCAAAATTGACTTCTTTCTTTTTAGAGTCTTCGGGGTCGTGCTCCAGTTCTTTCGTTTCTCCCGTTTCTGTTGGTAGCCAGTTTGCCCAATCATCACCTTTATCAACCCTTGTCTTCTCGTGTTTTTTAGTACGTTGTTGGTCTATGTGAGTGCGTGCCTTATGAATGGTAGCTTCCGTTTTTACCACCTCAGCATACAGAGGTGAGCTTGGTGATTTTACGAAGCTAGCTTGGTCATCAGAAGTTACACATGTGGGCGTGAGCTTAGTTTTAAGTTTAGGGAATACGCCATCTGTGGGAGAGGATTTATTGAATTCCTTCTCATCTCTGCGTGGGGAAGGTGCAACATACAACTGTAAGGCTTTCCTATATGTGCAATTGAACTCTGCCATTAGACTTTTAAGGTTCTTTTCCTTCACAAATGCGGGGCAAGTTTTAGAGAGTGCCATGTGTGGCCCTTCACAATTTAAACATTTAAAATGTTGTGTGTCGCAATTTGCATGATTACTACCACATTTGGGGCATAATGTCTTTTTAGATGGACACACTCTCACTGTGTGGCCGAACTTCCAACAACGAGAACATTGTGAGACAGGAAAAACAAATGGTTCCACCTTAATCCTTAAACTGTCTGCATAAATGTAACCTGGTAACATATCACCTTTGAAACACAACCGAACCGCTTCACTCGTTACCCACAAACCTTCCGGCGAGTCATTATTACTGCGCCTCTGTAGCCGCTTTAATGAAACCAACTCAAAGTTTTCAGGACAAGTTATGCAGCTCATGAGCTGTTCATCAGATAGGTCAAGATCTACGTCTTTAATCACACCGTACGAATAACTTTTAAAATCTGGCCTGCTAAATCTCCAGTCCATATCCATGAAATCTTTACAAGTTTGTAGTTTAGTGGCACTCAACTCGTTTTTACAATCGATGCGCACTCTGTAGTTATTTAAGTATTTTACTTTTATTATATCTGTGATATCTTTTTCTTTAAATAGTCTTGCAAGTGCGAATTGCCTTGGTAACTTCTCTTTTGATGAAATATAAATTTCAATACAGTTTTCTTTGGTTTTTTTTCCCTTTGCTTTGAACCCAACCCTCTTCTTCCTCTTCTCGGTCTCGCTTTTTCGGTCTTATCATTTCTTCATTTGTTATCACGTCCATATTAAATTGCTCCTCAATATCCTGTTCCGCCACAGATTTGTTACTGCTAATCGAAGCACTCCTTGATTCAAAATTATCGTTAAAAAGTTCTTTGCTATCCACCATTGTAAACAAACGATCCGATACTCATTATATTAACTAACAATGCGCTAGACCGATTCAAGGTCAAGCCCGTCGCTCGAGAGTAAATAACTCGATAACTAATGAGATATAGATAAAGTTTACTGCACGCGTCCGTACGAAGCGAATACCGCTGCGAAACTGTGAGTTCATCAATTAGCATTCAAATTGTAAAATAGACATACATATTTGTAAGTTAGTTTATCATTCACAACAAGGAATTATTCAAGGCATACTACTTTACTACATGCACGCAACCTTCAACAGTTTTTGAGTATCTACAAACCGCCAACCATACTATCAATTAGCTAGTTTCCATTTCAAACATAACGTTTGACAAATAATTTTATGTCAACAGTATTTAATAAGTCAAATATAACTTTTAAAAGTAAACATGTTATAAGCTTTTTTTGCAGTTCCTGGTAGAAGCATCCGTAGATGGGCATTATATTAAAATTGTGTCAATTTGATAAAGTATGAAAGATGAATAGTCGGCATTTATTGTAGTATGTGAGTTACAATTTTAAGTTTATATACATTTCCTTTCCTAAAACCAAAAACTCAAGTAGAAGAGATACTATACCTAATACAAAGGGAATTACGAGACATTAATAAAACATATATGCAAACGAAAAAGAACTATATGAGTATCATGTGACGTATACATACAATTTCACATAAACATTACACCCAGGTCCCATATAATAATTTTTGGAAGTTTAAAAAAACATGATTAACACGTTGAACGCCTAGGGCAACACGGACAACGCTAGCTGAGGATTTACCCTCAACAGTAATATATCGGTAGTTAATGACTTGAAACATTTGGCATTACCTGGTCATCAGTTCCAGTGTGGAAGAATCCAGCCTCGGCGAGTGTCCGTGGTGCTTGTTGCCTATCCGCGGGCCATCGCTCGAAGCTGGCGAGGCGAGCTGCCAATGACGCGTATTGCGGGTGGCGAGCTCCACCGCCCACCACGCCCAAGTTACGCCATGTACCGCCCTGGCTTAGTACACGCTCGTTGTGAGCTGCACCTGACCTGAAGGAAATTACAAATATTTTTATATTATATTATAACTCGACTGAAACGTGGCTACTTCAAAACTAGGTATTCAAATTCAATATTATTACCATTTTCAAAATCAATGGGAAATTAAATGAATTTTGTACGGGATCGGCTTTTGCATTGACTTTGTATCGCGTATTTATTTTGTGAAAAATAATTAGAAAAATATAATTATTATTTTTATTATATTTTATTACACGTCCTACCTATCTAAACATTTTTGGCTAGGTATGTCGAGTGTTTGACGACGTTATTAGTATAGTTTTAAACTTGATTAGAAGTTTCTGGAGTTGAGCAATATTTCTTATGAATATGAGCCTTAACTGATGCTTGAAATTAGTCGAGGAAACTGTAAGCCACAATTATGGTGACTATGACTGAAAAAAGTCATCTTGCTACTTTGTACTTTTGCGTGAGTTCTTTTATTTGAGACGCGAAAGTCATCGAATGACTTGACTAGACTGGGTGGGCGAGAGTGTCGAACACTTACTGACTACAAATTTCAGTTCTTCTCCTGCTCCGGACAAGGTTTTGCAGGTTTAACGTAGAATTTAATTTATTAAAATTGACTTGATAGCTTGGTGATTTCTCTTTTCAGCTAGGTAACCAAAATTAAGAAGCATCCTTCATCATCATAGCCTTTGTATATTCTGAGGGCCAAAGGGGACTAAGTAAATCGATTACTTACCGGTGTTTTGATGATACTAAGAAAACTTAGTCATCCACGGAGGGAATTACATGCTATTGTTAATATTATCAGTGGCGACGAGTTTATGCGATCGTTTAAGATACGAGGAAAGAACCCTATAGTGCAATTTAATCAGTTATGTAAATAAATACATGTCATGTCATTTTAGTACCGATCGATTGATTTATTATAACTACTACTTTGTGCTACCGACTTCGCCTTTTATTGATGATAGGAATAGGAATAAAAAGTAGACGTGTTAACAGACTACTTCCAAAAAAATAAAAATAAATAGATTATTATTTTTCTAGCTACTCTTGCGTGGTTTCACCTACTGCTCTGCTCCCATAGATAATAGCGTGATGTTTTATGGCCCATTTTATGGTCCCAGACGCCGGAATAAAATTATTTAGTTTTTACGGATCCGGCTACTGGCACCGCAGTCCTTTTTTTGTTGTCCGACTCTTCGGAAGCCGTCGTTCAAATAAACAAACTACAGCTTTATAATATTTAGATATGTATATGTATGTATGAAAATATAGATAGTACAGACAAGGTAATAATATCTACAAGTATTCCAACTTCATAGAAACGGCCGAAACGCAAACTATACCTACGCGCCCGATGTCGGGGCGCGCTGGGGACGCAGACAGACGCGGCTGTACCGCAGTGACGAACGGACGGTGTGTTGTCTTTTATTTAGAAATCAGCTCGAGTACATTATTTAATATGACGAATAGGAAATATTGTGCTGTGTTTGGTTGCATGAATTCGTCAATAACGCATCCAGACATAAGTTATTTAAATTACCTGGAAACTCTGAAAGGTAAGACTATAAAATAATTTTACTTACCTCCTAGTAGCCTAGGTAGGTACATATGTGTGGCTTTATAATGGATCATTATTTCCTTTTATCTCACGAAAACAGGTGTTTGAATTTATAAATAAAATGAATAAAGTTATTGAGACCAGTGAAATAGGTAGTTATAGGCGGTTCTGGTTCTGAATGAATCATTATATTACGTTAGGTACCTACCTACTTACGCTTGTGTTAAAACGGTTCATGTATGTTTTGTTAGTTTGTATAATTCAAAGTAGAGAGTGTGGTATTTTATTATTAATAATATTTGTTTATTATCTGATTATAAATAATACTAGAAAAAATTAATTTGACAGTCTCTGTGTCATTAGATAGTTTTCGAAATTTTCATAAAGCTGCTGCTTTAACAACATAATATTAATAAAAACTGTTTTTTTTTCTCGGTTTTAATAACAACAATAATAACAGCTAGACTCATGTAATATTTTGATGTTTGAGGGTTGTGATTTTAGAACATTCGTAGTCAGCTGTTCAGTTCGGTATTGGTGTCCAAAGAAATTTTGTTTGTTTATTTTTAATGCACCGTATTTGTTTATATAAATAAAAGGATATTTACAATCACAAAACTAAATGGAAACAGAAAGTAGACAAAGGTAATTAAAATACTGGAGACGAGCAGCCCTAACGCATGTTACGTACCGCGCGACTGTAGGTATTTATTTCTTTCAAGCGGCCGAGTTACAATACTGTATGATATTTTTACTGTGGTACAGATTTGCCAATTCCAAAGTATATTCTGGGCTACTTTTGAGTCGGTTTTCATCAATATTTGTCCAGAACCTAGCGCAAAATATTGATGAATTTTTAATTAACATTCTTTTTTATTTTCACAAACATAAAAAAGAAACTCGTATTAATCTATTAGACTAGGTATCTAAAATTAACAATAATTTCATGAATTAATTTAAAAGTTCGGACGTTACTACTATTAATTATAAGCTCAAACAGAAACATAGTTTTTCCCAGTGTGATCTGTGTACCATGCATTGGTACATGCGTAAGTAATAAGTTGAAGTAAGTATCTCCGAATGTTATAACTTCAAAGCAATCTTTTATTTGATGTTAAATTTAAATGCATTATTTGAATATTGAGGTGATTGAGACAATAGATAACAGTCGATTGACGTAAATAAACAGTTAAGTATCAGACAATTATGGGAATCTATGTTGAGTAGGTACTCACATCGAAGGTAAAGAAGGTTACTTTTGCCAAAGTGAAAATTGTATTATTCAACGGTTTTTCTCTACGCTTACTTGGCGTCACTTGCGTTTTTATAAAACAGGGAGCTGCAGTTGCGGTGTGCGCTAATAAATGAGCTATCATTAAGGTACGGCGGCCTCGGTCTATAGCAGGAGAAAGAACGAGAATTAAATCATTAGGAACAATTTTAAGTTTGAAAGAGTCTCGACGCTGCCTCTTGCCTTACCATGGGCGAGAAAAATCATTTGATGATTTTCACCTACCAAAAAAAAGAAGATAAATATAAAATACACTAAATAAACATGCTTACCGAATTCGAATTGTGGACAACAATGTAGCCATGGTAAGGGTCAATCAAAACGATCACTTCTTAAGTACCAAAGAACAAATAGATATAATGATGAAAATCACTCAAAAAATTTCATATACTGAGACGTTTTAAACGGTCGACTTTCACAGTATTCACCACTATTCACCGAACAATTTCACCTCAATTAGGATAAATACTAGACCTATAACTTAATAGTACTTTTTGTCATAGCAACACTACCACGATCAACAACTAACGAAAGATGAATTAACGTTTTATCCAAAGCCATTTATTTATTGATTCCCAGTTATCAGATTCGATAACTCGGGGATTTTTTTTCACTATAGTAAGACAGATACGTCAACTAATTTTTATTTTCGCAACGTACGGTAGCGACCGCTTCCGTCCATGTCTAGAAGGTAACTAATTTACTTATTTGCTGCTAAGTGACCATGTAGGTCGTTTCCTAATAACGTATACTGTTTTCCTATTGAGAATCCGTTATGACCGAGGTTTCAGTGTAATTGTTTTCATTTGAACTTAGAACCGACTTAATACGATTACGTGTGAAGTCGGCTGCGTGTGCGTGTCCTTCAATTATACGCTGACCAATTTATGACGTCACAAAATTGCACCGAAATGTGATATTATTATTACTTGGGGTAGTGGCGATTTTCATATCGGTGGTAGGTAGAGCATTGACTCTTTTGAATCGAATTAATTGACGTATTTAAACACGTTAATTAATTTTGAAAATTCGCCGGTTGGGCATCACTATCATAACATAGTATAAATAAGTCGCTTTATCTGTCACATTATCCCTCTGTATGATTATATCTTTAAAACTACACAACGGATTTTGATGCGATTTTGTTTAATAAGAAGATAGAGTGATTGAAGAGGAAGTTTTATATGTAAACTTAATACCATCCAGTAAACAGTGGAGAAGTTTTGTAACAGCATTTGAACTGTGCAAAACAGTGCAGGATTTTCCGACGTAAAAGGAGGAGAACCTTAAAACGTATTATATCGAGGTCATGTATGTTTGTACACACTACCAAATTATAAAACCGCTACAGCATTTAATTAAAGAATAACTACATCGTAAGAAAAACTACAAACAGTAATAAACGGCGCGAACGAGTTTCCTTCATAATTATCTATGGATCACCTTCCAAATAATTCGGTTTCAAAGACATTCATTGTTCACTTATAAAACACTTGTGTGTGGTATTCTATGCGTAAGTGTAACAAAAACCTTGATTTTTGTTTCGTTGGTAGGTAAGTAACAATTTAAACGAGTTTTGTACCTACTTTTTAAATAGTGAAGACTTCAAATTAAACTAGAGACTTCATAATTTGCTTAATGATGCTATGACGAAAGCTGCTAAGTTAAGCAGTTATTTTTGTGTGGGGCGTACCTAATCTTCAAATGACTTCTCGCGCAGGTTACTCCTTGCGCACACTGGATGGGACGCACCGCAACACCATATATGGCTAGTAGAATTAATAAGGCGCTGTATTTTTTATATTAATTTGCGTAATCAGCGGACTTTCCACTTCGTACACCATTGACAATTTCCTTTCTCCTAAATATCATGTTAACTATAAAATAAATTATCTAGATAAGTTTTTAGTCTTTTAAACGAAAAAAAAATTCTTTTTTACATATCTGGCCGGCCTCTCAACACTGCCCCTCCGCCATCGACGCCTATAACGTTTCATGATGCAACTTTCTGAAGAATTTTAAAAGATATCGATTGAAATGTCATAACTGAAAAAATAGTGTCCAATCTAGTTTAGTTAAGTTAGTTTTTTTCGACCGTGGAAAATCATCTAACCAGTTCTCCCGCCGCGGTTTAGGCGAGCGGCAGTTCAAACTCTTACTGACCAACCTAAAATCACCCCATGTAGTAGAAGAAGCCTGCTCAAAGCCGGAACCGCGGAACATTATTGGGCTTGCACCCGCAACCGGATCCTTCTACCTATAGTTACTATTATTACAAAACTAAAGCTATTGTTTAGGATTGGTCTTTGACTTTTTTTGTTTGATAGACTATTTATCGACGAAGGTCAATAAATAGTCGCGCGGCAAGGGCGGCTCGCTATAAGGTATTGAGAGCATGGATCTATATAAAAAAACTTTACAATCTCTACTTCAGTCCCTAAGTATTAATTAATTTTGTGTTTTTAGTACAGTTTCAGTATTCAGTGTACCCCAATAAAATCTTACTGGTTAGCACCAATAGAAGTCGGGTAGCGGGGGAAATCGCGTGCATAACTACAGCTTGAGTAAAAAAACAAGTGTGGTAGGTACATACGATTGTGGCAGGTTATTCAAATTGGCGGATGGTGACTCTACGCGTGGGGTGTCGTTAGGTGGTGAAGGCGAGAGCGACGGCGACGATGTAGTGGAAATATTGCCCGCTTGTGCCTGCTGAGCTGCTTCGAGGCTCGCCGCGTGCTGACACCGAGAGAAATACCTACACAAACAACAATTATTTCATTCACAACATACACTTATGTTGTACATAGTGACATTTATCTATGTCTTATTTGTATCATTTGTGTATCTGTGGAAACACAATAAAAAAGATAAGTATTCGACCTTTATTCATCAGACGTAATGACAATCTTGAGATGCATGATAATTTTAGAATAATATCATGATTCAAAGTAAAATACATGATTCAAAGTAAATTAAATCGTAGTTGTTTCCTTTGTATTTACTATTAAGTTATTTATTTTAAGCACTATATTATTAAATGAGGGAAACAACTGGATAAAAACAAATACAGACATTATATTTTAATTTTAAGATTTTTATATCAAATATTGTTTTATTATTTTATGCTATTAATAATTTTTTACCATATTTATTAATAAAAAAATATGTCAGAATAACATTTCCTTACATTCGGTGGACTTCAAGTGGTGTAGATGAGGTGAAGTGATTATAACGGGACAATTCTCCTCCGCACCAGGCACAACGCAGACGGCCCTCACCAGCGTGATAGAATCCAGCATTTACGAGCGATTGACGGGAAACTGATGAGTCCTGTACAAATATTACATCATATTACTTAAGAGTTCAATAAAACTATATTATACAGTACATATAATTCATAAATAATAAATAAATATTAATAAGAAATGATATGTATTGAGTCATTAAATGTCTGTCAGAATAGCAAAGTGAGAAAACAGTTTTAATTTTTTTTAGTCATATACATATAAGGATTAAAAAGGCATGTGAGTTTTTTAATATTAATAAATTAATTTTTATTGCTGACATACCATTCCTTGAATGAAAAAAATTTAACTATAAAATAATACAATATTAAAAAGCATTATCAAGCTGACTATGTTTGCATTATGTTTCCTAGTTTTTATTGTTAGTCCTGTTAATATTAAGCAGTGTGAGAAATAATAAGCTTAGATGGATGTTTGATGGTGCCCAGCCAGTCATAACACTATAGCCAGCCCTGAGTATCATGACAGACTGTGCATATATAAGTAATGTAACATTATATGTTTGTTAACATAAATAAAATAAATGAAAAATTCTAAAAATTTCATAATAATTGTATCATGATAGACAAACGAATAGTAGTGGTAATTAATAACTAATAAAAAGTGCCAAAAACCTTCAAACATCTTTTGGTATGTTTATTATAGTTTGTACAAGACGTAAAATTGAATGCATTGAATTGCTACAAAATGAGAAATAATGAAAATGAATAATTTCACTTTATTTTGCCTATATATCCCTAGATACCTAGATACAAAAGACATTGCTAAAACAAACAATACAACTATATTATGATGTTGATAATGAGAACTACTTTATTATTCATTACAAGTCATGTAGAAAAACATATGAAACTGAATTTACATGTCTATTATTGACACAAAGATAGGATTATATACATAGTGCCAATGTACTATTTTCTTGGCATACAACCAGTTTGTTTTCTCATCAATTTTCTCAGAGATAATGGTAAAGATTAATATATATACAACCTACAATACAAAAAATATAAATGATATTCTTACATCCCAATTAATAAAAGATAGGAGTCGTAAAGCATCATTCTTATAAGTTTCGTCTTCTTCTGTTAGTCCATAATCGGGTGCAGTGTAAGTATGGTCATTTTGCACATCATCAGAAGGCACTGATGGTCTACGAGTAATTGATGGAGGACATTCTGGCCCAAGGACTAAGGGCACATTTCCTGAGAGCTCAGGATTCGTCACAAATAGGCAAGTTGGTTGCAATTGTCGATGCCTCCACATCACCTGGTCTCCATAATTCCACTGAGAGATCTTACTACTACAACAAAAGCACTTCACTTCTGTACCTTCGCCCGTATAGAAAAACCCTGCTTTAGCAATTCTTATAGGATCTACAGGGGCTGATGAAGGCCAGTCGGTAAATGTATTAAGTCTATTTGTCTCATAATTCATTTTTTTAATGTGAACACAACTGCACGTATTGAAATGGTAAACTAAAAGCTACAGGTACTTATGCAAACTTGATTCTTACTCTTACTGTGTGTTATATGTCTAGTGTAAAGAAATGCAGAACTAAATAGCCTGTTATTAAAGATTATCTTATTAGAAACACCACAAAATAAATAATCGCAGAAACGAATAAACACACGAATCAATAATCGAACACAGATAAAAAAAGATTTAAAAAAATTGGTTAAGGGTATTTTTAGTGATGGGATTAAATCGACTATTTATTCTGTCGACTGGAAGTGACGACTCGGGCCATTGTGCGCAATGAAGCGGGCGTACCGCGTGCGTTCAAGTCTTCCTCACGCCCGACACTCCGCAGAAGACACCTCGGGCCCCGGGAGTTGGGACCATGCTACGATCTCTACCCACAATAAGCTTAGTCTGTGGACATCAAACCAGCCAGAACCAGAACTAGACCCAAGCTTAACTCTTTAGGCGTGCACCTCAAACAGCCTATTAGACCACTACCGATGGGGTCCATTATCTTCTCGGGGTTGGGGGCACAAGTGGAACGAAGTGTAGGTCTTTATGTGTGTAGTGTCTTTATCCTTGTTTTTAGCAGATGAAGGACAAAGTAATAACTTAGATTTAGTCGAGTTTTTCTGTCAACTATCCAATCCATAACTAAAAATCACTTATTCATAAACGACATTGACATTTGACTGCAATTGACACTAATCTCTTGACAAATGATCTCTCAAAATAATCAGCCAGCAGACACATGATTACATGCCGGATGAAAAGGTTAAAAGTGCTTAAATTTTTATATATTTAAATTAAAAAAAACACTTATTTGTATTCAGCATTGAATAAAAGTGATATCAAGTTATAGGAATTCAGTATTGCTATTGGTTAGAACAATGTTCATATACATATTTCTGTTTGTTTTCGTGTTGGGTGCCTTAGGATTGGTGATACATTTTTCCTTAGATAAGAAAGTAATTTACAAAGATTTGAAAAATAAACACGTAGTAATAACCGGTGGTTCAAGTGGTATAGGGAAATCAGCAGCGGTGGAAGCAGCCAGGCTCGGGGCTCATGTCACTGTTATTGGGCGTGACACTGGGAAGCTTTCGGCAGCTGTTGCGGAAATAACTGCGAACTGTAGAGATAAAAATAACCAGAAAGTTCAATACGTTGCATTAGACGTTACCTCTGATTATAAAGCCATAGAAAAAAGTTTTGTATCCATAGAAGAGAAACTAGGCCCTATATTCATGTTAATCAATTGTGCTGGAATGTGTATCTGTGGCCAGTTTGAAAAAACTGATCCCGATGTGATTAAACAAATGGTTGATCTCAATTACTTTGGCACTGCATACCCAACACGCTATGTGCTACAAGGAATGAAGAAAAGAAACGAGGGACTTATTGTATTTGTGAGTTCTGAAGCTGCATTAATTGGTAAGTTGAACTACTCTACCTCGTAATAGTTGCGGAACAAAAACAATTTTACTTTGCAACATATACTAGAGAAACCTGTTTTGTTATCATTAATTTGCATTATTATTCACCTGTGCCTTACTACACTTAAATAAATTAAATAAAATGAGACTTTCTATTTTTCAGGTATTTATGGCTACAGTGCTTATAGTGCTGGAAAATGGGCTGTGCGTGGTCTAGCAGAGTCGGTGATCATGGAACTTGTAGGAACTAATGTAAGGTTGACTTTAGCCTTCCCACCCGACACTGACACTCCCGGCTTCAAGAATGAGGATCTGACTAAACCAGAGGAGACAAAACTTATATCAGGAACAGCCGGATTGCATTCACCTGATGATGTTGGCAAGCAAATGATTCATGATGCTCTAGTAAGTGTTGCTAACAATGTCCTCTTTAATTACAACTTTAATTTGTTAATTTAGTAGTAATTTATTTAATTTGTTTATTTATGAGCCTGTAAATCTAATTCAATGCAAAGCTTAAGTAGGTAGGTATTCTAAATCATTCCTGACAATTTTTATAAACTACTTCTATTTTAATAGTGAGCCTCACATAAGAAGGAGGGTGATTCTTCACATCAATTAAAAAAAATTTAATAATGTCATTATCCTCAACCGAAAATTAACAAGTCTGCTGATACACAGATAATTATTTTATTAAATTAAATCTCACCACTGCTTACAAGCAACCGATTAAAAATATTGTATAAAATAAATTACTAAGATGCTTAAAAACCTGGGAGGATAATGACTTGTTAAATAAAAGTTAAGGTTTTTTGGAGAATCACCCAGGACCCTGTACTTAATATATGTAAGATAGAAGGGTTACTCTTCAAGAAACACCAATTTTGCAATAATAATTAAAATTTTATTTTTTTTACAGACTGGCAAGACCTACTCCGTCTACAGTGTCTCTGGTACACTACTGACACTCCTCTTTGGGGGTTCCATAGATAGCCCTATGCAAGTAGTTTTACAAGTATTGTCTCTTAGTGTTGTAAGAATTATTATGGTTGGAATATTATTATCTTTTTATAACATTGTGAGAGATGGACTTAAGAAGAAGAATGAGGTTAAAACAAAGTAATGTTTATTATTTGAAAGTATTGGAAAGGTGGGTATTTAGATTTTAAATAATATAATATATTGATCTTTCTTGCAAGCAAATCCAAACTGAACAATATAATTCTTATAGATACTAGATTCATTTTTATAGATATTTGTAAAAATAAATGAATGTAACATAATAAGTACTTTATTTGTTATTCAGATGATATGCCAAAGTATAAATAGTTTTGATAATGTATGCAACATAAATTTATGTATAATTATTTCTGATATATGCTTATTTTAATTAGTACTTAATTACAAACATTTTATTTTAATATTTAAGACTATTTAAGTATTTTAAGCAGTTAATTCCAATTACTTTATTTTAACTTTATGTTTTGTTTTCTTTAACAAATTACCATACAATAAATTGTACAAATATATTTGTTAGAGTATTTATTTTCTTATAATATGATATTGGTATGTGTCAGGATTTGAATTTAAACTTGTGTCAACAGTTCCATATAAGTTATTGAGTCCAAGCTTATGTAATCGGTTTCGAATATTTAGTAATTTAATTTTCTTAAATATATTTAACCTTGGCATTTGCAAGTCTTATTATTATTATTTTACAGTTGTAGTCTCTTCTAAGTATCATTCAAAATATGTCAATCTTTTACAATTACAATAATTGTTGCTAGATAAATCTAATTACATACCTACATTACATAAAATAAAATTAAAATCTTTAATCTAAGAAATAGCTAGCAATTTGAACAGTATTTTTTTGTATTTCATTTTATTTCTTGATCCTCGTCTAGCAAGAAATAAAAAAGACTAAGTATTGTATGCTGATTATTTTACACATTTTTTAAACTTTGTACCTACTGTCAGGATAAGCACTAAATTATTTTTACAATAGAATAAATGCTTGGACATTACTTCTAGTTTCATTCACAAAACTATATTATAATAATAATAACTAGTAACTAACACTGTATTATTTACTTAAGCATTACATGAATTCTGCTGATACATAAGTTTAAATCCGACGCCAACATAAGATTCATCAGATCGAAACCAGACTACAATAGGACCAGCACCATTGTCTGAAAAAATAAAACAGTAGTAAGTGGTATAGGATATATGTATTATACATCCGTTCAAAACAGCATGTAAATCTTGGTTACACAACAAAAAAGCTTCGGTACGAATGAGTTGGCTCGACCGGAGTGATGCAACGGCTTCAAAGAAAACCAGTGTGAAACAACAACAGCATCGTGTTTCGCCGTGTGAGTGAGGTTACCAAATACCCAATATTTCAATTCCCTTACTCAATCACTTTCCTAAGACTCCGAATCACTGATCCCCAAAACTATCTCCTCTGGTGTTGCAATACATCCTCCATCAAGTAGGCTCCACTGACTGCTCTTTTACCGTCATATCATATAAAAAAAATACATAAGAATTACGTGGGCTCTTAAAATTTGCAAGTTTACCTGTGACGGGAGCATTAACAGTAAAATCTTGAAACACAGATCCATCATTAAGACGATCTCCACAGAGTCTGGTTGCAGCTATTAGCAGCCAATCACTCGGGCAGTTCAAGATTTCCACTCCAGCTTGATCGGGCGGGATCACAGGCAGCCCATCTATCAACGAATAGGGATACATTAAACAACTTAAGTAGGTACCTAAGTAATGAATGAGCTACAGCTAACACGTTTGGGGTTGACAGGGCAATCCTGTAAGGGTCCAGCGCAATTAGGTATGTTATGTGCCGCGGCTCGGCCTCGACCATGAAAAGGAACGGGGTGGGTTTTTGTCAGTGAGAGCCTGACACTCCCTCTCGCCCCAGAACTAGAGAAGATATAACCCTACAAATCAAATCAAATTCTTTATTTCAAATAGACCAAAAAAGGCACTTTTGAACGTCAAGCAAAAAAGATATCATAAGGTTTAACTTTATGTGTCAGTCTGTCCGTCTGTCCGTCTGTCCTCTAGTGAAGCTATTTGCTCGTTCCAAAGTGTAGATTTTTTTTTTTTTTTTTTTTTTTTTATTATTCTTTATTTTATGGGACTTTTGAACACAGTTCACGTCAGTCCCATCATAAACTAATCTTAAGTTAACTAACAAAATAAACAAACTAAACAAAAACAGTGCTTTAAATATTAACTAATGAGTATCTATATCATTTTTGCCTCACGGGATAGTGGGCGAGCCAAAAAATAATAAAATACGCCTACGTCTAACCTATTTATATTTAGTTCTCTAATAATTCTGTTTCTCTCAGATTCGTTTCTGATGCACTCCACCAAAAGATGCTGAACATCCTCTCTTTTGTCGCAGACCTCACAGTTGGGAGAACTAACTTTTTGCATAAGATACGCAAAAGCTCTCAGTGGCATGTGTCCGGAACGAACCCGATGAGCAGTTACAACAGTACCACGGCCAATGTCATCACCATCAAACCATGGGATAGGAGGATGCTCGTTTTGGATAATTTTGTACCAAATTCCTTTTAATTTAGATTGCTCATTAAAGTAATCTTTCCATTTGTCGAAACAATAAGTCTTAAATTTTGATAGTATTTCCGAACTAACTGGAAAAATGTAAATTTCAAAACCTGAAACTGACGCGATTTTCGCTAATCTATCGGCCTCCTCATTTCCCTTCAGGCCAATATGTGACGGGATCCACTGTAAAACAATGTTGATGTTACTTAAAAGAAGTGAGTGTATTTTCCTCATCACATCATAGGCAATCGATACACCTCTGTGTCCATAGGCGCATCGTACCAGATGCTGAAGGGAACTTTTGCTGTCGGTAAATATTACTACATTTGTAGTGTGAGATAAGGTTTCAACATAGGACAGCGCTTTTGAAATTGCTAAAATTTCTGCCGTCATAATAGATACCGAGGAAACTATTTTAAAACACTCACTTCCTTTAGCAACTGGGTCATAGTAAGCTGCCCCTATCTCGGTGCTTTTTGATGCATCTGTATATATTTTATACCATTGTCTATATTTTTCATTTAATTCTAACAAAATGTCATTTCTTAACAAATTAATTTCGTAATACCTTTTAGGTTTTAAAACACTTTCTAAATCAATTCTAACAACATTATTAATCGCAATAAAACTACACCAAATATTTAATTTATACATATCTAACGGGCTAGTCGAATAAATTTTTTCCTCTTTAATGTTATTGAAGGTAGTTAATAACAAAGGTTTTTTCTTATTTACCCAATATCTATTTGTTGACAGTGCACTCAGCTTATATAGTAACCCACTAGTGCTATCATTGACCCAAGACTTAACTTTACAACAATACTTAATTGCTAAATACATTCGACGAATATACAATGGAGGCAAACATAATTCACTCTCCATTACATGTATAGGTGTCGACTTAATAAAACCACCTATAGTTCTCATGGCTTGGTTTTGGATCTTATCAACTTTATAAACTCTTAATTTAATACTATTGTCATACAGGAAACATCCGTAATCAATACGACTTCTTATCAAAGCTATGTATAAACGTCTTAAATGTATGGGATGTACTCCCCACCCCGGCCCTGATAGAACTTTGAGGATATTTAACATTTTCTGACAACGTTCATTCAGTTCATTAATGTGTCGGCCCCAACGGAGTGAGGAGTCTAACCACATACCCAAGTATTTGATGTTATCGACTCGTTCTAACGGTTTATTATTAACTTCTATATGAACTTGTTGTCTTCTATGTCCTCTGCTAAACAAACATAATTGTGATTTTGATGCTGATAGTTGCAAACCTATTTTCAGTAGCATTTTAGTAATAATATTTATGGATGCTTGCATATGGATAATACTGTCATTTAGTTTTTTGCAGCTAGTTAATATTGCAAAGTCATCAGCGTATTGGCATATTTGTACAATGTTACTGTTATTGTTTTTTGCAACCTCCATCGTAACAATATTAAATAACAATGGTGAGATTGGGTCTCCTTGTGCGAGGCCTCGACTAGTCCACCTAACAATCTGATTATCTACAGTTAATTCGTCACTAATAATTAGATGCCTTTCGCACAAGAAGTCCCAAAGGTAGTTGCATATTCTACTGCCCACCTTTAGTTTGTCTAATGTTTGGGTCACACTGTCAATTAACACATTATTATAGGCATTGTCAATGTCGAGAAAACATGCCAACGTCGGTGTATTATTAGTAAATGCAATCTGGACACTAGTAACAACTTGACTAAGAGAATCCAAACATGAGCGCCCTCTTCGAAAACCCGTTGTACTAGAAGATAACAACATATTGTGTTCAAAAAACCAATCTAATCTTTTATTTAACATTAGGTGAAAAATCTTGCACAAGCAAGATATCAATGATATTGGTCTTAACTTGATATCTGAATTACTACTACTTTGTTTTGGTATTGCAATGATTTTAATATTACGCCATTCAATAGGAACATAGCTCAAGTTAAATATTTCATTAAATATATCCAGTAAAAATGTTTTCGCAATTACAGGGAGATTAAAAATCATAGAATACGTAATAGCATCTTCGCCAGGAGCTGTGTCTTTTTCCTTTATACACGCTTCCAACTCTTGGTAGGTAAATTCAGATTCTAACAAAAAATTATTTGATGTGAACACAGGTTTGGAACACTGAACTGAATCAGGGGCCAAGGTGCGCAAAAGTTCTTGTTTCCTATCCATTGAAAAATAATACTTATCTCTTCTGTAGCCCTTAATCCATCTCATTTTGTTCCACATTTCAGAAGAAGATACTCTGCCGTCCACATCTGTGCAAAATTCTTGCCAACTGTTCGTCCTAGCTCGTCGTATTTCTTTTTGTGATTTTAATGTTTTATCCTCTAATACAGTTAAGTTTCTTGGTGTAGGATTCTTTCTAAACTGAGCAAGTGCGAGTCTTCTTTCAGCCACTAGTTTAGATAGGGTCTGGTTCCAATATGGTTTCGGTTTGAAATTCCTCTCAGGGTCATTGCAAATTTTAACCGGTGGAATGTTTTTATCTGCTGATTCATTGATGACAGAAATAAAGGTCGTGTACTTTTCTTGCACGCTATTCACAGAAATAACTAATTGTGTCAATCTGCTTTCAATGTCTTTAGAGTATGCTGACCAATTAGCCTTCTTAAAATTCCTCTTTTTTATGCAATGGGGCACATCCTGGTAGTTCATTCTTATTTTTATCATTAAGTGATCACTTCTTAAATTTTCATTAAACACACACCAATCACAGAGAATTGCAATATCAGTTGAAGTGAAAGTGATATCGGGGGTCGTTTTCTGTACCACATTGCTCACAAATCGAACTCTTGTGGGGTTGCCATCATTAATGGGTACATAGCCATACTCCAGTGCAGAATCCATGATTTGATTACCTCTCGTATCACTTTTACACGACCAATTGGAGTGATGTCCATTAAAGTCTCCAGCAATAATGGTTTTTTTTGTATAAAGTGAAAATAGTTCCTCCCAATCAGATTCTCTGGTTATTGTAGAAGGAGAACAGTAAATAGAAATAATATTCTCCAAGTATTTACAATTAAGGATTTTCACATGTAGCATTTCTAAGCCTGTATTGTTAATTCTAGTAAACTTTATCTCGGATTTTATTTCGGACTTGTGAACTATAACTGCAACACCGCCATACCTATCGTGTCTATCTTTTCTATAAGAAGTGTATTGCGAAATATTCAAACGACTCCCTTCCTCTAACCATGTTTCACAGACAATTGCAATATGTATTTTGTCTTTAATTAAGAGTGATTCAAATTCTGTCAATTTTGGTTTTAAACTTTGTGAATTCCACTGTAGTATATTAATGCAAAAATTCTTTACTTTCCTGTTATCCATTAAATGCACTGAATATCCTTTTAATTAATTCTCCATCTTTTATAAAGTCTACTGCATATGCGTATATTTCTTCAAATATCATCTTACAAAAGCATTTCACCTTATCTTCAACATTCGTATTAGATGTAACAATTTGTTTAATTTTTTGTACTAGTCTAAGAAATATTATTTTAAATGTGTTTTTCTTACTTTCCTCTTTTTTATCATGATTCTGATTTTCAACGATGTTGTTATTTATCCCTTCCATATTCAACAAATCTATATCTTGGTCTCTGTTCGTAGTTAACTTTTTTCTAGTTTTTTTTTTCTTTTGTAATGTGCGTCCATTCTGTTCCTCACCCTCTTCAGTCAGTACTGTTTCACTATCTTCATCATTTCTTTTCTCATCCATCAATGTGACAGGCATATTTGACTGTAATAATATATCTCTATAACTTTTAGATTGGTGAGACTGAGTCTGTTCCAATAAATCTAAATCATTTCCTTCATTTGCCCTTCTTTTAGGTATAATACTTTTATTTTTCGATAACAGTTCTAAAGCCTTTTTGTAAGAACAAGCTTCTTTCCACATCACATTCGGTATCTCTTTTTCTTTCTGAAATATAGGACAAGTTTTGTCAAAAGACATGTGAGGACCATCGCAGTTTACACATTTAAAAACTTTAGTTTCACAATTAGTGTGATTTTTCCCGCATTTAGGGCATAGAACTTTTTTCCCCGGGCAATACTTTCTTATATGTCCATACTTCCAGCAGCCAGAACATTGTGAGACTGGGAAAGTATATGGCTCAACTTTAAACCTGCAACCGTAAGCATAGACATAGGGTGGTAAAGTCGGGCCCTTAAAACATATCCTTATGGTCTCACTATCCACCCAATTGCCATCATCATTTAATCGCTTCAGTCTTAAGATAGAAATAATCTCTGTGTTGCATTTAAACATATTTCTAAGTTCTTCCATTTCAGTTTCTAAATCAATTTGTTTAATTATTCCATAGGAAACACTCAATTCAAATGTCATTTGACTTCGAAGGCCCAACTCCGCTATTTCTTTACAATTTAGTAAGATATTCGCTTTTTCTTGTGAATCAAATAAAATCAAAACTTTAAAGTTGCTTTTGTATTTAATTCTGTGTATGTCTTCTATATTGTACTTTCTCATCATTTTAGCTAGGGCAATCTGTTTCGGTAATGGTTCTTTAGAGGTAATACAAACTTCAAACTTATTGGAATTTTCCTCAGTGTGGGTATGTACCTCAATTTGTGGTTCACTATTTTTGGATGAGCTTCTAATTAATCGTTTTGGTCTCCTGTTTACAGTTATAAATCCTTCTTCGTCTACCTCTCCTTCACCTTCATTACTTTCACTTCTCATTCTCTTGTGTCGCGGTAAGTCATTAATTTCTACACATTTTCCCATAGTACCTTCATCATCGTGTTGACTGATTGTAAACTCAGTTTCATCTTCACTAAAATCACACAATAGTCTAGGCAAACTAGTTGAACTTTGATTACTTTTATCACTCATTATTATACGTAACGTGAGGTAGTAGTAAAACACTAAATAACATTGCGTTTACGGCGGTTGGGCTAGCGCGTCCGCTTGACTCACCGATCCGCGCGCAACTGTGGTAGATTCCTATGGAGAAGAACGAGCAAGAAACTCCATGGTTACTCTTTTTCAATCACTTTTTACAATGCATTGTTACATAATTTAGATAGTTCCATTATGTGAGAACAGTGTAACACTAGTGTTTAACCAAAGTATCCGAAAAAGAAATAACCCTCAGGGACAGCAACTTTAGACAGTCTCGAGTTGACCAGTCCCAATAGGCGGCGTCCGTTCACGAACATGACACGTACACCAGCACCGCCCAACTCAACCATATTATAGGGAACCGAGCGGCCCAGTGCCCGTGCCACCGCCAATGAGACTCCTGAGTGAGCATGACAACTCCCAACTGACACAAGTACCAATATACTATAAGTCTATAAGTCTAACTCAATTTTAATAAGTTACAGGGCTCTCACATTTTCAAAAATCCAGTTTATCAACAATTAACAACATGGTAAATAATTTAATAATTGAGATCAAAATTCCTCTTAACCTTAACAATTTTTATCCTGTGCAGTCAAACCAGCCACCCTCCAAGCATTTTTATCTTCTATATAATCATTTAGTTTGTAGTATGCTTTCCTACATAATACTTTCTTTATACATAATTTAAATTTACTTTCATTAAGATTTTGTATTTCAGTTGGGATTTTATTATAACATTTAACACATAATCCCATGAACGACTTATGCACTTTTGCTAATCTAAATAAAGGCTGACTTAATCTATTTCTATGTCTAGTAGGATAGTCATGCTTGTCAGATACTTTTACAAATAGCTGTAGGTTTTTCCTAACATATTTGGCTTCGTACGCCGAGTAAATAAGAGGCGAACTTGTCAATAAAATATGTATTTAATATTGAATAATTATAATCTCTTGACTTTACACCGCTTACACATGTAACCGCCTAAAAAGTGGCGCCAAAATTGTTCTGCCAAAATTAAAACCATAGATACTCAATGGCGACCATAAACAATATCTGGTATTCTAATAACAATACTAATAGTGGGTCCCAGGGAGGGACGCCACACATACATAATGTTTTCATAAATATATTGACATGGTACGGTCATAATGTTGATCTCCTTAAACTTTCTCTGAGAGATTCGCGACGACCTAAGTTATAGATAGCTCTGACTGCACGCTTTTGTAAGATAAAGATAGACTCAACGTCGGATGCCTGTCCCCACAACAGAATTCCATACGACATGATGCTGTGAAAGTAGCTAAAGTACACTAGTCGTGCCGTGCCTACGTCGGTTAGCTGACGGATCTTCCAGACAGTATAAGCTGCCGAGCTCAACCGCCCTGCTAGAGATCTAATGTGGGGCCCCCATTGCAGCTTGTCGTCTACAGTAATCCCCAAGAATGTGGTCTCCTTTACAAATTCCAGTTTCTGACCATTTAATAATATATCATCGCATACGTTACTTTTAACATTTGGCAAAATAAATCTAATGCATTTCGTCTTTTTATCATTAAGTACTAAGTTGTTTTTTGTGAACCAATTATGAACTTTCATTAAGGCATTATTCACTTCGTCATAGTTATTTGATCGTCTATTTAATTTAAAAATCAAGGATGTGTCATCAGCGAATAATACCATATGCGGTTCACTTTGGAATAAATGGGGCAGGTCATTGACATAAACCAAAAATAGGAATGGACCCAATATTGAGCCCTGCGGTACGCCCATAGATACGCTAGCACCCCGGGAGTTTACTCTGTTTACTTGTACTGTAAGGAGTCTTTCTAGAAGGTATGATTTTAATAAATTTAGGGATACTCCCCGAATGCCGTAGTGTTGCAGCTTCAGTAATAGTGTTTCGTGCTCAACACAGTCAAAAGCCTTCGAAAGATCGCAAAATATTCCGATGGCATCCTGTGCTTTTTCCCACGATTTGAAAACTTGTTTTATAAGCGATACTCCTGCGTCCGTAGTGCAACGTCCCTTAGTGAACCCGTATTGTTGGTCATGGAAAATAGATAAATAAAAGGAAAGTCCTTAGATGATATGTGAATAGATCAGAGTAGGTACCTACCAACTTAGTGCAAATACTACCTACACATTTAACCGCGCAGTTTAGATTAGACCAATCTATATAGGTACTATGGTTATATTACGATATGGTAAGTAACATTCAATGAAGAAAATTAGGCTTCTCACTATACTTACATACATAGGTGTACATAATATGGGCAGACTCGGTCAAACTCATAATGGTACCTAATAGGGATCCATTAAATGAACTTACCTGTGTCGTAGTTAACTATCTGCATGTTTCCAGTGTTGGTGTACGTGACACTGCACGTTTCTGCTTTCCGCTCAATGCACATAGCATAATTAAGATTGTTCTGCAACACAAATGCATATCATGTGCGGTAAAATTAGTACAGTAATCAGCTAAATTATACTTATTTAGGCTTATAATTTGCCTCCTTTTTCCTTTGCAACCTTTGAGTCAAGTAGAGAAATCAGTGAAAAATAAGTACGAGAAATTATATGTAGGTAGGAACTTACCTATTACAATTCATAGCTAGGTAAGTTAGGCAGTAGGTAGGTAGGTACTTTCCTAGACAACTAAGTACCTATTGCATAAATACATTCGTGCAAATATTGAAGGGTTTGATTCCTGGAATAATTGAGTAGCTGTTCTTGAAGTAAACTTTGTGTTATCCACAACCCATTAAGTTGTGCATTGTGCCCTGCTTAGGCTGAGCAAATCTTCAGGGAAGTGAACGGTGTCGGCGACCTCTCACGTCTGGCTACCTACCTACTTGTTTACCAAGAAGAAAAGAGGAATCATTCAATAATACCTACTAAATAACTAGGAGTCCTTGCGATGACGATATCGGATTTATCTCGATAGTTGAAGGATTCCAAGTAGCCTTGTGTGTCTGTGAAGTATTGCAGACAACCCGTTGGGGCGGCCAGCTCATCTGATGAGGTTAGTTGCGTTACCTAGAAACAAGATTATTTTAGTACCTATAGGTATTTTTTAAATATCCGACAGGTATCTAAGTACCTAGGTACCTACCTAAATAATAATTTTTCGGTAATTGTGTAGATACCTAAGAGATATCTAAGTCTCATAACGGAAATAAAAAAATATGTATAGGCATCGAGACAATTTTAGATATCCAGATTCAGTGTGTTTACTTACACTTGTGTGTAGGTAATCTGCTCAATAATAGTAAGTAAGTAGGTACTAAGAAACGACCCTGCTACCCCTCTCAAAAAAAGGGCTAGCTATGTATTTAACTACCTACATATTCAGTACATAATAGGTACCTATGTCCAGTTTGTTGTAAACTTTGTTTACCTTAATTGAAAACAGCCTGCTTTCTGAAGAAACTGTTTGGAAGGTAAAATTGATGGGACCGTCGACTTCACCAACTTCGATGTAAACTGAAATAAAAGTCGTATTTTAATACAACATTGTAGGTATAAGTACCTGTACGCTATACTTAATTACACACTATCTCTAGTTAGTTGAGATGCCGACACCCCGGTCCAGAGTAGGAGAAATATCTAACAGACAGTTATTTATTAGTCAGTAAGATTCTGACACTCTCATTAGCCAAGGCCATTAAAAGGGCAGCAAATTTTAGGGTCGAAAAATTATGAATTAAATTGAAATAGTGAATGCTACAGAAAAACTCGACCGATTCATAAACTGAAGGAGGCTGTAGTTCACACTTAACAAATAAAAAAATAGAACATTAGTCTACGTTACCATGTTGACCAGAATTGATCCCGCAAAGAATCGGTATCACATTATTAACATTTTGTCCTGAGATAATAAACTGATCATCGTGACACGAGCCATCTGTCGGTGGCAGCAGCTGAAAAATTAGAACAAAAATATGTTAAGTATGTAGATACCTACTTAATACATTTTTACGTATTTTTGTATGTACTTATTCTTGTATTAAAATTCACCTCAAAATTGTTAAAATCCAATCGTATCTGAGTAATGTCTTCAGAGGTTTTATCCAATATAAAAGTGCATGACAGTCTGTCCGTACTTGGCGACGGAAAATCAGGGTTAGTGAACCAACCGGAGTCTGCATCTGAACGGCCGTCGCATAAGAATTGAGCTAAAACATTATAAAATAAATTATAGGTAACTGTATGTATAGTAAGTATTGACTAAATTGGTAGCTAGAATGTAGGCAACTACATTTTTACAAACGTCGCTTACGGTACGTAGGTACCAAACTATTGTAGAAACATAGGTACATAGATACCTTGAACCTAGTGATGAATTTACATTTTGCATAGATAAGTATTTAATAGAGACATTAGGCAATGACGGATTGCCTTTTGCATAAGACAATATGGAATAATGGAACTATTAATACATGTGATTGTAGGTACCTATAACTTAATGTTAGCAATAAACTGTTCCCGATCTAAATTTGAGAGAAAGAGATATTTATCTTTTTGATAAAGAGCCTTTGAAATTGAAATCTCAATACCAATAATTATTTCCGTTGTTTAATACTCCTGAAATATCAGAAAAACTATTTAATTAGGACAATTTATTATGTAGGAGTACTTACTCACGCAGCAAGTTCCATAACCATCTGCACAAGTCCCCATTGTAGAACCACCCGAGTCAATGCACTCAGACTCTGGTAAACACGTACCTTCTAGACCACTACTGGATGTACAAGAGACATGATCAAATTCCACCACTTGGAACACTTCCAAAAATCTTGTCTTAGATTTTTGTTTCATGTTCGACTGGTTTATTTGCCTCGGCCTAGCAACAGGACATCTCTTACGTATTTTCGTTCTTTTGGGGCGTATTCTATTCAACACGTTCAAATTCTCAACAGTATTGTTGTAATTTAGTGTTATGCTGTCAGATTCCGAGGAACTGTTTGCACTATTCATGTTGAATTTTTGAGCCGAATAAAAATTGGTGCGTCCATCATTCGACTTTTTAGGATCGATTAACATTAACGGCAAGAATGGATGTTCATTGTTTTGGATGTAATTGGTTCGGAATTCCAGGTTAGACGAATTGTGAAGGCTATTTCTTCTGTCGACGATTGCCGCGGAGTACCATTTCTCTGCCTTGCTGGAGACGGTCACAATGCAGAATAAAAAAGTTATTAGGTTTGAAAAAAACATATTCGCACGCAACTTGTTGGGGATACGAGGCACTAAGTAAAGAAGGCACCGAACTGAACTGCAGTAATGTGCACTGTGGGTAGTGTGACGATGCACTTGGCTTAACCTGTGGGGACAGCGTGACGAATGTAATTATTGCCTAGAAATCGTTCTGGTTTGCTAATTTGCCCCATATACTGGATAACGGCATGGTTGTTGTTTTCATATAAGTACATGTATCATATAAGTACCTAAGTATTATGATTCATCAGAGTAGCCACTTCTGATTTATTTATTTATTAAGAATATTAAATTTACATATACAACATTACAGCTAACGCCATTAAGTTGTATTGTTAATTTTATATAAATACTATTATCTAGGTACTTAAAAAAACTAATTAGGAATAAATACAAGAAAACAATACAAATTTAAAAAACAAAATAAAAGTACTTAATGCAACTGAATAACAAGACTGGTGATCATAGTAATCTTTAACTAAAAAAAAACCTTTATAGTTTACCTACTTACCTATCATCCATCCTCTCACAATATCTAAGACATTCACGACACAGATCAAACAAACAAATCACAATCTGGCGCTGACACCAGGAGAGAATTGAGCATGGTGAGAACTCGGACCAGCGGAGAATTTGCATGGGCCACTGTACGTGCCTCTGGTACAGCCAATAAGGCATGTTGACGCGGCCGAAGTTGGTGTGTACGCAGCCTGGGTACTGATAACCGCACCACCTGTCCTACTCTGGACAGTCAGATTCACCACGCAGCGTCTTATAGCTCATAATCATTAAGAAATAATTACGCCTCTTGGATGATATTTTAGTTAAATTACTTGATTCAAAATACTTAGAACTGTTTGCAGTTGTAGAAAATTCTAGTTATCTAACTACCTTATAATAATCCTATATGAGAACCAAGTAAATAGAAAATAATTTGGTGACATGGATTTGTCTCCCAATTAAACCAAGCTCCTGTCTGACGACATCAACTAAGCTTGTAATATGTCTAACAACGTAACGTAGGTAGATAATAGTTTGTGTTGACGGGTTTAGGTCACAGATCAGTTCGTAATGAATAAAAGACAAGGCGAGCCGCGCCCTGTCTAACAATCTAAATGTAACACGCGCTGATAATATGGAAATAGTCGTGTCGGGTCTACCTAATCCTAATTTGCCTTTCTAGAAAGGAGCTTATGGGAATTGAGTAACATGTACCTACCCAGGGCAAATTTGTGTCATAAAATTCCATCATTGGTCAAAGTATAGCTGCATGGATTTGTTTTGCCGTTGCCTGATGTATTGGTAGCTATTTATCACAAACGGGACACTCCTTATTGGCAATCGTTTTTTCAACGAATTGCTACACCACTATAGATTGCTTCTTGGCAACTTAACATCGTTTTAAGGTTGAAAAATCGTCCAATGTGAGTGCCTTATTTTGATCAGGGCTTTTGCTAGGTCCTCATAAATTAAAGGGGAGATAAGGTACAAAAGAATAAAATCCTAGTATATATTATGCCAACGATTTTAGAAGCAAAATTCTAGAACAATCTATCTCCCAACTCGTAGGTATATAATCTAGTAATAGGTACTTAGGTACCTACCTAATGGATTTAACTGGTTCAATATACAAAGGTGCTATTAGGTACTCCCATTATAAGTAATTCACCTATGTCACCTACGGCTACGGATAAACTTGACGAACTTGGTCTAGATTATAACGGATAGATTATTGTTATTATGAGGTAGGTTGTGTGTGCTACATTCATTTAGTAGGGGGTGACGCAATACATACCTACATCAAGTTTGGGAGCTATTGAAGGTGTTAGACTTGGCTTAGGTAGGTATCTATATAAGTATCTAATAGAGACAAATAAACAAGCACCATCGACAGAATCAAAAGACAAGAAATATTGTAAGAATTTTCTGTCGTTGAATATTGGAATGTTAAGTAGATACCTGGATTTCTATGTCCATCGATAACTTTATAGGATTTTCTCCTTTGTCGTGTCTGAGTTGGTTTAATGGGTTTTGTGAGGTACCACATAATTATGCGATATACGGCGCGCCGTACCTCTTCTCCCCATAGTCAGGTCACGGTATCCCCGACATCTAGAGTATTTCCTGCGGCGGCTGGGGCGTGAGGATGATAGTTTCCTGACGCGCTCCGGCTCCTTCTTTGCAAGCATGCTGCTTCGTAGAAAGAAGGGACAGCTTCTCAGTCCCCTCTTGTGCGTAACAATGGCTTTGATTAAGGTCGGGCGCGGTACATCGCTGCTGCTGACCACTTTCCACAGAAACAGCGGTGCTCAGCCCAAGGCCCACCGCCACCACGTCGTATGCTCCAAGACCTTACTAAACCTGGTACTAATCTTACACAGGTAGGAATGCAAGAACTTTGAGAATTAAATACCTACACTTAAGAGGGTGGAACGAAAAAGAGAATTGTGAAAGCTAAATAGATTTTCCATTCAAGAAAAAACTCTAGGCCGTGCCCTTAGGAGTCTACAGAACCATGTCTAAAATAACCCTACTCCACATCTCACGTTAAAACTGCAATGGATATTTATCACTAAAACCATTAATCTTAGGTAATTTGTAAACATTTCTGCACATGACGTTATTGACCGGCTGTGTATTGTCCTTGCGTGTATATGTGTACGCAGCCACGCCTGCACACGCGCTTTTTCCAAAGCTCTGCGGGCACGCATACAATGAATGTTGTCTCAGATTATATTGCAAGTGCGTTATCACACATGTGCCCCTTCGTTCATACATGGAGAAATACTGGCCACTATAAAAGGCCAACGCGCCCGCCTAATCAAACATATCGCTCTAAGCGTTGAGGGGTTGAACACTAAATATGCTTCTAAAAGTAAGTCTACAGTTATTATTTTAATTTTATGAAATAAGATTAGTAACTAAGTGTAATGTTTTCCTAATTATACTTGCTACCCATAATCTACTAACTTACCTAAATCTTACAAAGGTACGCACATACAATATACCTAAGTACAAAAAACCCACGTGTTGGTATATACCTAGTTTAACAAGAACGATTTTGTGACACTTTTTCATTGTAGAAAAGTGGTAAAATTATTTGTTTCGCGAAAAAGTTGCAATGTAGGAGCGAATAAGACACGTGTTAGCTGGACGATAACTTATACCCCCTTATTACGAAACAAGATTTATCTTCTGGGATTAAACTGGATTAAACCATTGAGTCCGCCAGAGTCCGCTTTTGATTTATTCTCACCTACCTTCTTTTCTACAAACAAAAATTGCCACAATGGTTTAGACTTAGACTAAGAAAAAACTTCTTTTGAAATTAGGCTGAAAGAGTTTATTAAGTATGCTTTTTTGTTTTCAGTTATTATTGTTGGTGTGCCTAGCAGCCTTGAGCAATGCTGGCCTTATTTCACCAGTTTACAATGCTCCTTACGCCTATGGTGGGTGGAACCCATACAGCTCGTACCCTGCTCAGCCAGCAATCGCTTCTCAGCATTCTAACATTTTAAGGTCACCATTTAATCTTGGCCAGGTAACTTCATATTATGAATATTAAGCTTATTTCGGTCATGCGATTTTTTGGCTTGAGTATAATTATGTATATGCATAAACCAGGCCCTAGGCAGTTCAGCCTGGGTTGCGGGGCTAGTGCAATAAGGTAAAGCAGAATAAGGAACGGGGAATGTAGGTTTTAGTCAGTATGAGTACTGTATAACACTCCCTCTCGCCTCATCTGGGCGTCAGAAGTCATTGATGAATTTCCCCTGACAAAGAAAACAGACCCTAGCAATTATTTATTATGTTTTCGGATTACTCACGTAATAATTTGACGAGATACTCGACCAGTTTCAAGCCATTCTAGAGGCCCATATTCATGAGCAGCATTCCGCGAGTATCTCGTCAAATTATTACGTGAGTAAGCCGAAAACATAATAAATAATTTAGAATGTCTCACGAAAGTTATAATAAAAAAGACCCTAGGCAGTTCAGCAGGGATTGTAAGGCTAGCGCAGTAAGATACCGCGGCCTCGAAAGCAGGATAAGGAATGGGGGAGGGGAGGGTTAGGCAGTAAGAGTCTGACAGTTCCTCTCGCCTCATGTGATCGAGAGAGAGCATTGGATGAATTTCTTTTCATAAAAAGAAGGACCTAGGCAGTTCAACTGGATTTTAGTAGGTAATTTAACTACGTGAAGCGACTACTGTATACTGCTCTCCACGATACATTAATTTTGGTTTTGCTCCATGTTCTTGGTAATAAGTACTGGCCCAGTGATCCGTTAAGAGTTATTAAAACTGTCGTAGGTGTTCGTATGACAACCGGCCACGACTGCCGAATTACCTTCTTTTCGGGTTAATTAACTTTTTTTCGGGGCACGGAAACAGCACGCTGTTGAATTTTGGTTAAATCTTGTTGCTCAACCCAGTAAACAAAATCATGAGATACATTTAGAGGTCATCCTCTCACTGTGCCATCATAACCACTCTTGTGCATTAATTAGTAGAAAGTAGGAGATAGAAGTAGTAGAGTATAATAGAATACTACTATGCCTGTGATTGAAAGCTCTTTTCTCTCATTCCATTCGCCCGATCTGAAACACTATATTAATTAACTGAGTATTTGTCTATTTTAACAGGTATCAACATACACAAAATCCATTGACACTCCATTTTCAAGCGTGCGTAAGGCTGATGTGCGTGTGAGCAACCCCGGCGTGGCCATTGCGCCTGCATACACACGCTTTGCATCACCTCTAGTATCGCATGTCGGTGTTGCTGCCCCTGTGGCCAAGGTGAGTCTAAACAACACAAAATTCTGGCATTAGCACGACTAAGACAATAGAAAAAAACCTTAGAATTATTAATCACCTACAATCAATAATTTGGGTCACAACTGGTGACTGGAATAACTACGAAATCCGTTCCCCGGATTTTGGTGCTTTCACTCCGAACTTTTCAGTAACTTTGAACCAACCAAAAAAGGGGGTTTTCAGATTTAGGTACCCGCATTTATTTGTATAAGTGTGTGTTCGCGATTGACTGAACCTATATGAATGGGGCTCTCAGAGAAGCATTTTTACACTTACTTATGAGAAAGTTTATGGAAATTTACCGACTTTAAAAAAGTAGGCTCTCCTCTTAATCAACATATAAATACCATATAATACGAGGACCCGGACTGCAATTTAAATCCTGCTATCTTCAGACGTCCACCAAACTAGGACAAATACTTACTAGGAAGCTCAGACGGATGGCATTCCTATTATATTAGATACTTATACAGATATCTTACCTCACATATCACGTATCCTTCAAATTGCATCGGCGGCGGCGGAAGAATCTTGGTAGGCGCCCTAAGCAAGCATAGGCGCGTCAATTTTTTTTTATGGAACCAGCTTCTGCATTGAATTTTGCAACTCGCAAGTTGGCTAAGAGCACGCGCGCTCCGTGACACTACTCCACAGCCTTCCATCCTAGACACTTACCTAGTTAAAGATAATAAAGCCCTGCTGTAATCGACTATGTTTATATTAAAGAATCAAGTTCTTTTATAACTTAGCTTTAAAAATACTAAGAATATATACCTATGTACTTAATTGTTTAAAGGTTGCTACAACTGCTGGTCTTCTTGGAGTGGCCTACTCTGCTGCACCCACTGTGTCTCACATGACTTACACCAATGGACTTGGTCTTGCCTATGGCTGGTAAAGAAACCAGAGCGAATTGTTAGAATGTTATGTACATTTAAAGTGGTCAAATGAAAGCATGAATAATTCCTCTTAGCTTGTTACCAGTTAGTTATTAACATAATTTATTAAAAATATACTTATTACCGAAAAAGTATAGATTTTTATTTCCCTTGTGGTACTGCTGCAATTGCTAATACGTGTTTTTTCTAGGTATTAGTTTTTATGCAGCATTGAAACTCATCAGAACAAGTTTTAAAAAGCTCATTTTATCTTATGCTAAGGCTTGGTCTTGCAACTTATGCAAAAGTGCATCTATCAATTTAATTCGGACTTCATTTTGAAGCTTAAAATACCAGTATTCTTTTTACTACCTACTTCATTTTTAGTTGTCATTCTGATACAGATGACGTCTAAATGTCAGTTCAATCTAAATTTATTTGTCAGTTTTGTTGTCGTAGACGTAGTTCTTTGCCATTTTCCACTTGCCAAGTACCTAATCACAATAAATAAAATAAAAATTACCTGTGTGTATAAATAAAGATACGAGAGTTCTCGTATAATTAATTCAGTAATACCTCCGGCCTAGATAGTTACGCTTGTTTATTCACGTCTCGTTACTGTTGTGTGCACATGTATTATCTTTACTGCCAGTGATAGTGTAAACATACACTTGAGCTAATTGTCTGGTGGATTTAGTCGTAGTTTAGAAGAGCAAGGAATATGTCTGACAGCGGGGACAGCGATGTTGCGTGGACTTACTACAAGGATCGTCCGGAGTGGAATGACGTGACCCCAGTGCCTGAGAATGAAGGTCCTAACCTAGTGGTTGTCATCGCTCATTCAGAAAAATGTAAGTACCTATACCAAGTAACTTGTAGTTCGATGAAATGTTACTTATATCACCATGGCTGCCTATACCTACAAATGATATTAATTGAGTTTTTCTGCTGCATGCCAGTCTGTTTTATGTTTTAACCTTCATTTCTGAAAGGACATTCAAGTCATTAAACTTAATGAGTCATTTTATTACCATAACTTGAATGTCTTTTTTAATATCAATATTATCATTTTTGTTGTTAACAGTTGTTTTTACCAACTTATTTCTTTATTTCAATATAAAAATCTTTCTCAAGTATTTTATTGTTAAAGTTATTGAATACTTTAATTGCAGTTGTTGATGTGTATGACTATTTCCGAGCTGTACTGCAAAAAAATGAGAAGTCTGAGCGAGCACTACACCTGACGAAAGATGCTGTAGAACTAAACCCAGCAAACTATACTGTGTGGCAATACAGGTCAGTACAAAATAGTTCTTAAAATTAAAACATATTCCTGTCATCTACTGGACAACACAGTCCATAAGAGAATGTTGGTTGCTGGTTTGCATTAAATACATAGTCTATTAGTCAACACTTATGATTAACAAGTGACAAGAATATTCTACTCATAATCATGATACAGCTGTAATGTACTTATAAAAAAATGCAAAAGTAGTAGAATAATAGACTATAAATTATTTAGGGCTGGATGATCGCCAACCCAGTCAATTAGCACCAAAATAACTTGATCTTGTGATATACCTGTTGATATTTTAATTACATAATGTACAGTTATATAAAGTTTTATGAATTATGAATGCAAGGTGCTGCATGTCATGGAGTTAATTGACTCATAATTTAAGGTCATGTACTTCATCAAGTCTATATTGGTTGATTATGGGTATTGGTCATGCAATGTGACATCACACCTCTTGTTGGTAGACAGATATTAAAATTACTACTTTATAATTAGTACTATGAAGGTCCACTGTTGTAAAACAGTACAGCTAACTATTTATAACTGCATTCCACTTTTGCATGCATCCAGTAATTTATGTTAAAATACAACTGAGCTACAAGTCAAAATGAAAACAATGTCAATTAAGTCTTGTTTCTAAATTACTAATTTGCAAGATTAGTTACTTTAGCTAGTGATATTTTTCATGATAACTCTTATTAGTAGCAAGTTCCTCATTATATAATAAATATGAGCCGCATTTTGTAAGTTGTGTGTTTGAAAGTTGTCTAAAGGGCCTCTGCATAGGCTTTGGCCCTTCTTACACCAGTCAAATGACTAGACCCTATAATTGGTAAAGACAGAATCCTATAATTGGTAAAGACACAAATAATAATATAGTTTTCCATGATAATTCACCTAGAAGTTTGTATTGAAACTGGTCCAAGGTAAAAACTCTTGAGAGAAAAATTGTTTCTTTTACAACATCAATGTAATTTCAGTGAACATTAACCTAAAATTGAACGCTTTTGTTATATTCTTTCAGGAGAGACCTGCTCAAAGCTTTGGGTTCAGATTTAAGATCTGAGTTGGATTATGTAGAATTAGTAATTAAGAATTCGCCTAAAAATTATCAGGTAAATTATTACTTTTTATAGTATTGTTAAAATGGGACTGGCTTTAAAATGGGACACATCAGCTGAATGTATCAGTAGACAACTCAAGATGGATGCCGCAGGCGGGGTTGGCCCCGGAAAAGATGGCGCGATGATTTAGACGTCTATCGTCTTGACTTGGTGGATACGGTCAAAAGATCGGGAAGCGTGAAAGCGAGATGGGGAGGCCTTTGCCCAGCAGTGGGGCATTATAGGCTAGTTATAAAAAAATATATGTATATTACTAGCAGACCCAGCTAAGCGTTGCTGTGACTAAGGTTCTTGTCATATTACATATGAACAAATAATTTGCAATAAAATTATATTGTAAAATGCACACGGAAATCAAATGCAAATAAAATTTAAAATCGAGTCCATCGCGGACAAACACGTGACACGAAATTTGTATATATAAAATATTGTAGTGTGTTATCTTTGTCCATCCCTTTCCCAACGAATGTAAGGTTTGGTACTTAATCAGATTTGGCTGAATAGAGGGTATGGAGAACCCACAACATGTTATCCAGAGCTAAGGTTTACATTACATTACTGGATTTTATAACTACCTGTAATGTATGTCAAAAATGTTTGCATGGCAATTGGGGGTACTGAGCCTGAAAGGTTATCATGCTTATTTGCATACCAAGGCAGGTTATAGCGTACAAGATAAACACAGTAACACACTAGAAACAGATCAATTGAAATAAATGAGTAGGATACATAATAATAATAACTTATAGATTCAATCTTGTCATAATGTGTTTTATTAGGTAATTTATAATGGCAACTCATTCTGACAGAGATACTTGTGGTACAAGCCATTCGCTTATCAATCTGCATCAATAATCGTTGAATTATTTATATATATTAAACGGAATTCAAATTATTTATGTAAAACAATATAAATGGTAAATTTAATTTCGTAAATCGAGCAACTTTAGTTTTATTGACCATCTAGCGATTCCCTCGCATTCTCACCCGCTGCTCGGCTCCATTTGATTATAGCATAATATTTTATAGCCTTTAGCACTCAGGACCATTGTAGCTATCTATCAGCGAATTTTCGGAAATCCGACCAGCGGTTCCAAAGATTACCCCTAAATACAAACTTATAATTACAAATAAAAGTATAGAAAGTGATAGTTAATTCTAGAAATTTGTAAGATGACGTAGCTTTTAACTCTCTCGAGACAGTAAATTTGTTATTTTATATGGCTTACATAATTACCTACGTTACTGAAAGATTAGGGAGTTTAAATAGTTTCTAGTCATGAACATTTTTATTTTTTGTAATATATTTTCGTACTCCATAGGTCTGGCACCATCGGAGAGTACTGGTTGAATGGCTTCAAGATCCAACCCAGGAGCTGGAGTTAACAGGAGATGCCCTGATGCAGGATCCTAAGAATTATCATGCATGGCAACACAGACAGTGGGCTATTAAAACTTTCGGGTATGTAGGACTTAGCAACTCATAATACATAGGGTTCTAATTTGTTTGGTCAAAAGCAACCTGTATTTTGTTAAAACATATGTTTGTACAGGTAAAGGTAATTACTGTCTGACGAAGAGCTATTAGCATTTAAAAACTACATAAAAAATAAATCACAACCATTCTCGAATGTATTAAATGATTAAAATACATAATTCCTACAAGGTCTTTTTTGCCCATAGTTAAACTAAATTTTTAATCTTTTTACAGGCTCTATGAGAAGGAAATGGATTTCGTTGATAACCTTATCACAGACGACGTGCGCAACAACTCAGCGTGGAACCAACGATACTTTGTTGTCAACAACCATTTAGGTTGGTCCGACCTCAATGTACAAAGGGAAATTTGTTATACGCTGGAAAAAATTAAATTTATCAAGAACAACGAAAGTGCTTGGAATTATCTTAAAGGAGTTTTAATACATGACAAGAGAGGGTTAAGCGGGAATGCTGTAGTCACATCGTTCTGTGAAGAACTTTACAAGAACAAATGTCGTTCTCCTTATTTGTTAGCCTTCATTATAGATATTTGTGATGAAGCTATTAAAAAAGGCGAGACAAATTGTCTGCATAACGCTAATAGAGCTGTAGAACTATGTCAAGCGTTGGCAACTAAGTACGACAAAATTCGTAGCAAATACTGGAATTACATGTGTGAAAAATTTAAAAAGGCTCAGCAACAAGAAGAAAGTAATAAAGACAAGGTGGAGAATATGGACGAGTGATTTTAATTTAAAAAATATATATCTGTTGCTGGTTTAATTGCAAAATTTTATTAAACATGTATGCTATGTTTTAAAGTATTATTGTTGGGGCCCGTTGGACTCATTGTATTTGTACAAACTGTATGAAAGTGTCGATAAAAACAGCAAAAGCATTAAAAACGTGAACACACTTAACTTTATTTTGTTTCTTTTGACTTTTTTTATAAATTTAAACCAAAAAGCACTACTTTTTATAAATTTCCCTACACTTTGTGGCATTATTATGACGCGTATTTTGTGTATAATAATTTGTACAGTGTTTTAACATACTTAATAAAAAGAATGATATTCAATTTTGTATTTATTTGCTTTTTGTACCTAGTAGATAATTATTTTGGCTTCTTGCAAAGAGGTTTCGATTTTGCCGGCGCGTTAGGGTCGACAACAGCTAAATCGTCATCAGTTTTTTGTGAATCATGTAGATGCTGCATGCCTATTAATTTAGGAATGTCATCGCTGACGGCTCGAGCTACTACCTCGCAACTACATACTCTGTTTGGGTTTATTAATGTTAATAGGTCCGTTGGATCAGGCTTCGCTCGTTCAGGCGTTGGTGCAGGTTGAGGCTGGAAACATAACAAATTGTTTTATACACCAAAACCAAGGTCAACTACGTTGTACTTACGTATCCAAAATTATACGTTATTTTGTGTTATATATACATCTACAATAGACTTTCATCCGTACATGTAGCTTAGATCTTAATTTTACTATTCCAGCTAGACCTATGCCTGAATATGGCCGCCTAATGTATGTAGGGCTCCCTACATACATTAGACGTGGTGCAGCACGAATTAAAGTAAGTGCAGATTCGTTGGCAGATGTTTGCGCGACCTGGGTGTAATGCCGTTTTCTTCTACAGCTGTTACGCGAAGGTCGACCGCGCAGCCGTCAGTCAGGCAGTCTTCGGAGGTTGTATATGGGGATTGTGCGATCCATGGCCCTCTACGGTGCCCCTGTGTGGGCGCCGGACTTGAAGCGGCGGCCGGCTCGTACGCTGGTCGCGTCCCAGAGGGTCATGGCTATACGAGTAATCCGCGGGTATCGCACGATCTCCGGGGAGGCGGCGAACCTCCTTGCCGGATCACCGCCGTGGGATCTAGAAGCGAAGGCGCTCGCGCGCGTCTACAGTTTGCGCGCAGACGCGCGTAGCCGGGGCGAAGATCCTTTGCCGCGCCAAATAAGTGCGTGGCGGAATGAGCTCCGGCGAGATCTCATGGCAGAGTGGAGAAAACGACTGTCGCAACCGAGGGCCGGGCACGCTACCATAGCAGCGGTAAGACCCCTCTTTGAGGAGTGGCTTGAGAGACGCCACGGCGTCCTCACCTTCCGTCTGACGCAGGTGCTTACCGGGCACGGCAGCTTCGGTAGGTTCCTGTTTCGGATTCAGCGGGAGGAAACGCCCGAGTGTCGTCATTGTGAGGACCACCTAGAGGATACGGTGGAGCATACGGTAGCGGTATGCCCTGCCTGGGCTGAGCACCGCCGTATCCTCAGGGAAGTGATCGGCGGCGGCGACCTCTCGCGCCCGGCCTTAGTCGAGGCCATGGTGCGGAGTGAGAGGAACTGGGACGCCGTCTCCTCCTTTTGTGAAGCAGTCATGCTCGCAAAGAGAGAGGCGGCCCGCGTGAGGGAGCAATCCTCCTCCTCACGCCCCAGCAGCCGCAACTGGCGACACTACGGGCGTCGGGGATCGAGGGACGATCTCCGGCCACCGTAAGTACGGGCCTGCGGTCGGCGAGTAAGGGCAGCTCGCCGCCCGACCAGAACCAGGCCCGAGCGTACGGCGCGTAGCGTTCCGCGCGCGCCTCAAAGAGCCAATAGACCACCACAGACGGGGCCCTAAAGGGCTGATGTTCAGCCGGGGTTGCGGGGTAAGCGCAATAAGGTACCGCGACCTCGGCACAGAGCAGGAGAAGGAACAGGGGGGTTTTTAGTCAGTAAGAGTCTGACACTCCCTCCTGCCCGGCCCTGGGCGGGAGAAGTCATTTGATGATTTTCCCCTCACAAAAAAAAAAAAAAAAAAACGCTTACGTCTAGATTGCTCACGTGTACTTAGAAGGAAATCGTAGGACGTATTTACTATAACCTACCTAGGTGATCATTTCGATTCAATCGCTATTGATCGGTTTGAGGGAATATGTAGATATCACTCAGCAATCGTTCAGGGATTAAGTACTTATATCGTGAAAGATCTACATTTCACATTTTAAATGTACCTATCTAAGTATACCTATAAAATGTGGGTAGGTACTAACCGGAGTCCGTTTATGCTTGGAGTCCGTGCATTTTGCATGATATTTCGACATTGTCGTAGTTTTTTTACTTTTCTTTTATTCTGTTAAGAGGAATGCAAATTCAAGGCCAACAACTGAAATAAATATCAAATAAACAAATAGTTAAGCTTCTGTTAGAATTTTGTCGTTATTTCTTTGTGGGTATTAAAAACAAAAGTATTCTAACAACTTGCTAATAAGATAGGTAATTCTAACCTGTTTGCCCTTTCAATTTTAGTTTCATTCGTTACTTGTGAAAATCGTGGTCTTGGAACTATTGTTTATTGAGGTGCATCTGCTTGAGTCATCTTTACTGATCTTCGGCACATTCGAACCAAATATACATGTTTTCTCAGTTACGGTGATGGCCAGCATGCCCAAAATATCCGGACAGTCAGGACACAAGCAGTTTCTGCAATCGCAGAGCGGCTAAAATTGTTGATAATTACGTAGGTAATAGATAGATCTGAGACCTTTGTCTAACATACGAAATAAGTGCCTACTTTTGTAAAAATATTTATTTGGATTACTTGGTACCCACGTTCATAGTAAGAATAACATTAGGATTTCTTTGCTGACTCAGCTTGTTGGAAATGATACATTTTGAGTGGTATTTGGACATGTTATCAAAAGGCCAGTTTTATTGAATTTTTTTATAAAAATTATGCCATCTTGAACAATTTGTAGCAGCAAATGCTGCACTTATTACGTCTTATCCTCTTTAAGAAATGACACAAATCAAAGTGGCAGTGTCCGTTTTGTTCTTCACGAAACGTACCAAAAGAGACTCTTAGAAATGAAGTTCTAACAGACATTTATTATAGTTGCAAAAAATATTTTGATACCTACTATAGTCAGAATTATAATTCGATTCCTGATTTGACATGACCTATTGTCATTTTGTGAAATAATGATACCACATATAACAGTGTAGTGATGAACACAAAAATCGATAAACAATCAGTGAATCAGTTTCAGGAAGGCATTCAAAAAATTACGGCTACCGAATGGTCTAAATGCGTATGCCATGTTGTCAAAGAAGAGGAAAAAATTAGTAAGCTAGATATGTTAATTGAGAATAAAAATCACAGACACAATTCATAATAAATGTTACAGAAAGTAACAGCGATAGCGATAGCGATGACGGCAACAATTTATAAAATGTCTGTTTTATTTGTCATGTCCCTTCACGATCACATTTTTTATTAATTTAACACACAATTACAAAAGAAAAGTCTCAGATCGTTAATTAATTGTCAAATCTAAATTATCGGTTCAGAAATATTTTATTTCCTGAGAATCTTAGTTTACGAAAGTAAATTTATAAACGAGAAGAATCGATTCAGAAATATTCGATTTCCATATCGAATAATTTCGCAACGTCACTATTTATTACGTGTCATAACGTTGCAACACTGAAATTGTCAAATCTGGAATGGAATTAAAATTCCGAGTATAGTATTTTTATCCTATTATTATTTTTTGTTCCATTATTATTTTTTGTTCGACGCGGGAATTCCAACTGTTACAGGCTACCCTAGACAAGAGAAGTCATTCGTCGACCCACCTCAAAAAAGAGAAAATGCGAGCTAGTCGTATACTTCTCCTCGACTATTTAAGCAAAACATTGAAATTCTAAAAACTTTTTATTTTTACTGCCGGTCATATCTTTTTTTTTTTTTTTTTTTTTTGTGAGGGGAAAATCATCAAATGACTTCTCCCGCCCAGGGCCGGGCAGGAGGGAGTGTCAGAGTCTTACTGACTAAAACCCCCCCTGTTCCTTCTCCTGCTCTGTGCCGAGGTCGCGGTACCTCATTGCGCTTACCCCGCAACCCCGGCTGAACATCAGCCCTTTAGGGCCCCGTCAGTGGTGGTCTATTGGCTCTTTGAGGCGCGCGCGGAACGCTACGCGCCGTACGCTCGGGCCTGGTTCTGGTCGGGCGGCGAGCTGCCCTTACTCGCCGACCGCAGGCCCGTACTTACGGTGGCCGGAGATCGTCCCTCGATCCCCGACGCCCGTAGTGTCGCCAGTTGCGGCTGCTGGGGCGTGAGGAGGAGGATTGCTCCCTCACGCGGGCCGCCTCTCTCTTTGCGAGCATGACTGCTTCACAAAAGGAGGAGACGGCGTCCCAGTTCCTCTCACTCCGCACCATGGCCTCGACTAAGGCGACGACACTCGGGCGTTTCCTCCCGCTGAATCCGAAACAGGAACCTACCGAAGCTGCCGTGCCCGGTAAGCACCTGCGTCAGACGGGCCGGTCATGTCTGTGGTGCAAATAAATACTTATTCGATTGTTGAAACCTCTGTTTACAGTATTTATTTATGTTCTGTGATTAAAGCTGACATAATATTGTAGACTATTGATGTCATAGAAACGGACCACCCTCCGTGGGATCACATTACATATGGGACATCCAACACACTGTCCTCGAGGTGACTCCTCATGAAGTCATCAATAGTCAGGAAGAACTGAATAGAATGCAATAATCAATATGTCTACAATGACTCTGGGTACTGGCATGTTACCAATCAATTAGTAATGGGACGAAACGAGCTTGTCAATCTGATAATGATGTGGCAAAGTGTGGTATCAAACAAGTATAGTACTGAGCCTATGGAACTGCGATTATTGAAGCAGCGATTGGCCAGCGTATCATGTAACTGTCATAGAGATTGCTGCAGAGGATCTTACGAACCGTCGTTTGACAGGTTGCATAACGCGCAGTGCACGAAAGATAGTGAGACACAAGCTGAACGTTTCATATCAATAGATGCGAGGCCAGCCTATCCAGCCCAATACATCAAGGATGCTCTTTGCCCTACATGCAGCATGACCTTGAACATTTTACGTGGAGGTGTAGTGAAAGTTCTGAAAGACCAAGAAGCTGGAACGACGGCGTCAATGTTCTATGCCGATAAATGTATTGGCAATAAAGGTACCTGTTTACCAACTTACAAAGTTTAATTAACTTAAAATGTCGTAGATACTCACTTATTACTACAAATGTGTATAATTTAATTTACAAAACTCATATTTGCTTTATGTTTCTTTAGATTCCAGATGGGAACTTCCAGGAATTCTCAGTCCCACCCAGCGTAAGCGTTTGTACCCTGAACGGGTGACTTTTCGCGACGTCGACGTGCCATATAAACGTTATGTTGAAGTTACCAGCAAACCTTTAAGTGCAAACAGATGTGTTTGTTTAGAAGATTTCATTGACTCCATTAGGCCACCATTACGTTAGGTACTTTATAAGGGAAGGAAAGAAATGGTAGACATTTTAATATCTTTTGTTCATTATGGTTAATGCCAATACACAGATTCATTGTATGTTGTACCGTGAGACTCGTAGAATGTGGATACAGTTCTCGCACTTATCTACAACATTTACTATTTAATTACACTACATTTTCCCTTACACATGGTAATTCCTAATCAGCACAATAAAAAGATGTAAAAAATCTAATGTTTATTTTAAATTAGATACACCATTATAATCGAGCTTTACAAGTAGTTATCTAGATAATTTTATTATGTCACACCATATTATGTCACAGAATGCCACTAGAAGCCCTATGGTCTATTAGTTACAGAAGTAGGTATTGGGTAACAGGAGAAGAAAGGGAGTGGCTTGCAGTCAGTAAGAGTCTGATACTTCCTTTTTTCCCCATCCAGAGCGGAAGACGTTATTGGATGACTTTCCCTCTCAAAAAGGTGTGTTAATGATTTTAATACAGCATTTTGAAGTCAAAGAAAAAAAAAAACGAATTATATAATGAATAGGTGTTTGGATGTTTGTTACTCAATGACGCCAAAATAGCTGGACGGATCTGGATGAAATTTGGGACAGTCAAAGGATACACTCTGGAATAGGGCATTGGCTACTTTTTATCAACATAGGTACAACTCGGGCGAAGCCACGGGCGAAAGTTACTATTCAATATTGTGTCATTGACAATATTTATCTCTTACTTTCAATTTCACACTTTCCTAACTTGTGCGAAGTTAGCAAATAAATCTTTTCTAGTTGAGTGAAGGTAATGGCCAAAGTTGTAACAATAGTTTTGTATAGGTATAGCTTTGTGATTACTTTTTGATTATACTTAGCACTTTATGAAGGTTACCTAACTACCTACTAAGTAATTTGGGCAGCAATAGTTAGGTCTAAGATCCGATAGGTGTGCGTGTGGAAAAGTTATTGAAATTTCATACCTATCAATAAATTCAAGCGAGAGAGCCATGGGCTGCCTCGATCGGCGAGATATCAAGGCATTATAGAAAACAGGCGTGAAACAATACTTGTGTATTTGTTCGCACTTTCGCCGTACCAATGAGGTTAGGAGGACTTAACTTCACCTTCCGCTCTTCCATCCTAAATTCTACGAATATCTAACCCGCAAATGACAAACCACGCATTTGCACCTCCTGTGCTGGTTTGGCGGCTAATTCCATAAAAAAGTCCTAAAAAAATAAAAGAATATTTTTGGATTAAATTGGAGATTAGAGATATTGCATGTCGATAAAATTGGACTGAAATAAGTTATTTATTACACAAGTACCTACCAATAGATGGCGTCACACATGTCTGTTAGACGTTGAAGAAAAACAGGAAAATAGTGTTGTGAATTAAAGAGTTTCTCGGCAGTCCTAGTTGAGGCGTGCCATTCAAAGCAGGGTTACAAAAATATTTAATTTGAAGCAAACAGGCACATGCTATGAAGAAGATAATAACAATAAACTTCATTACTTTCATAAAATATGTACATTGTTTTACCTACAATCTCACCAACTTACATTGTTTTAATCTGAATGTGTACCCTACCCTACCTACCTGATATATTTAAAAACTTATTAACTATGTATAAACGTATACTATAAGTGACGCCCTGTCACTCACATTTATACCCTAAAAATATAAGCCACCCTCAAATTTAATCGACATACAATAGCTCGCTTTACAAAATAAAAATTTGTTCCATCTAAAAAGCTGTGAAAATCGTACAAACTGAATGGTAAACTATTTATTATAAAATAAACAAGGAGTATTTACTCCAGTGAGCTGAGTAAACATGAGTGATGATTGCTTGCTATGTAATTTATCATACCGTACTATAATAATAGTTCTTCATAAAGTTCATGAGAAGGCGCGATATATGTTTACCTGCATCGTTTTCCCTATAAATAATAATTAATTGCCTTCACCGTATACACTATTTTCTAAGAATAAATTTCGCAATTGACTGTATAGGTAGGTAATTTGGGATCTGTACACGTAGAGAAGTTGAATACTGGGTGAATGCTCTTTATGGATTCAAACGACATACTTAGTTTAAGAGTTAAAAATGTAAGAGTGGTCACAAAATAAGTACTGCTTGCTATCGAGTAAGAATTTGACTGCTAATTGACGCCCTCCGTAACCAGTCAACGGTTTCGATTCCCATCGGAAAGAGACTTTGAGTGATCCACAAATTTTACTGCGTTGGATCTGGTGTGATGTGTGTGTGAAATCGTAAGTTTGTAAACGCACCCACGATACAGGAGAAAATCCTAGTGCCATGTGTGTAATTTTTGATGATTATGTAGGTATTTACTTTTATAGGATTTGGGTTGTCTTGCTCAGCTATACTTACATCTAGGAGAAGAGCGAAGCTGACGATCTAACAGTTCCGTGGTGTGCATCGGTAAGGTCTAAGTCTATTAGTGGACGCAGACACAGGAGGCGCTGATAGGTTTACCATCACAGCGTGATCAGTTTGCTCGTTTGGCGACCTTTCCAGTTGAAAATGGCAAATTACAAGTTTTCATAATAAAGCACATACCTACACAGTGAAAATAAATGAATGAAAAAATAAGTTTGTCAATAGAAATTTACGACTAAGTACCTACCTACTTGAAGTTTCGGGGAAATACATAAAACTACTATGTAATTAATAAGCGTGTTTTGTTATGACATAAAACGTTATAAATTATACATTCTTAGCTCCATCATAGGTGACAAAGAATAACTATTTTTTATGGTAATGGTGGGTTTTAACATGAGGACGTTTGTAACCCGTTCAATAATAGTAACAGGTAAACAACAAATATACTACGTCGATAGGTACCGGTAATGTATAAAGAGAAATCTTGTAAACTACAAAACGTGTTTAATATGTCATTACGTAATCTGGCAGTAATTGTTTGTAAACAAACTTTTTTATAGTAAACGAGCAGTCTTTTATGAGGTACTTTTTTATAGTTTATTTATTAAAATTATATGCTGTAATACCCATTTAATTTTCGTATTTTTGCAGCATTTTTTAAACAAATGACCAGAATATTAGGTATAGGATATACCTATATAGGTTATAATTATAAGGTGTTACTGTCATGGTATCGGTATTACGTTTAAACCTCTGTGGTACCTATGATTTGAGTTCAACAAAGATCTCTGAGTTTGAGTTCTCAGAGTAGTCACTAGTCAGCTAGGACATGACATACCGATATCATCTAGACTGTTTTTATATACTTAATATGGTTATGCACTTTTCAAGTACTGTATTGGAAACTATATTTTATGTGATATTGTATAATGAAAAGTGTGTGTGTCCTCTTATGTCTGCTTGCAAAGACAGGTTGTGTTGTTGTCCATGTAATTATATTATTATAGACTAGCTTCCGCAAACGGCTTCGCCCGCGTGCAGTGTTGATAAAAAGCAGCCTATAGCAATAGGACAAAATCAAAGTACTTATAGATAAAATTTGTTATTTACCGTCTCTCTAATTTTATGGGTACATCATTTCAAATATTACAAATATTTCATAAAACCTATTATATTATAATATTATATACCGCGTCACGTCGACCGTTACACAAAAATAATCATTATAGCATGATTATTTTTGTGTAACATGCGACGACGCTTTTTATCCGAACTGCTAAACTATCAGGAGTTACACGTGCTATTGTAAGTTAACCATAAAAGATAGACATATGCTGTAAAACAAAACTTTTTAGATAATTTTATGTAGAATATTTACGTCATACATAATTTCTATGTAACTTTAACCATTAAGGCTACAATACAACGGAAACTTAAAAAAGTGAGTAATTTCTCCCGTTGCCCCAAGATTTCCCTTCACTGCTCTGCTGCTATTATTTGTAGCGTGATGAAAACTATCCTATAACCTGCCTAAGAGTATAAAGAATAATTGTACCAAATTTTGTAAAAATCCGTCAAACAGTTTTTGTTTCTATAAGGAACATACATACTGACAGACAAAAATTTTACTGATTGCATTTTTGGCATCAGTATCGATCACTAATCACCCCTGGCAGTTATTTTGAATATATATTTAATGTACAGAATTAACCTTTCTACAGATTTATTATAAGTATAGATGCATCTTATTAAAATAAGAAACTACCAAGTGCTAAAATGTTTACAGATACTACCAATATGTACCTAATGGTTAAATGTTAAGGATAACGAATTCCGAATTCAGTCTTTGATAAAATTAATGCATAATACAGGGTTCTCTATGTTATAATGTGACTTGCGAAAACCTTATATACAATAGCTTTTTCGGCTAAAATTTGAAAAAGTTTCTTTTTTTGGGGGAACATCATGAAATGACTTCTCCGTGGATAAATGGGATGTGATCGGATGGATCCGGTTCTCGTCGGTGGCCGGAGTACGTTGCGGAATCCCCAACGCCCGGAGTGTCTCTTACGCTGGGACGTGAGGAGGATAAACAAAGGTCAACAAACAACAACTCCCCTATTAGGTAAATACTCCATATTCAATCATATATTATAAACATACAAATGCTGTCTATTATTAAACAGTTATATGGCGAATGGAATTACTAACAAGCACTAAACATTTTGCCTTTTACAAACAATAATAGATAAGCTATGTTTACATAAGGTTTGTTTTCTTATTTATTATAAACCATAACGCCTTTTAGGTCTGTTGCGTGTGGTTAATGTTAGTCAATTTTATATTTTATTTTCCTTTCTTTAATTTGTATTAAATAGGTAATTTTGATGTTAATTGTTGGTTATATAGGAATTAAACAAAAACATTTTTGAAGGTAGGTAACTCTTGTAATTGGTTAATCGCATTTTATGATAAGCACCTTTGCACCTAACATTTTTTCAAATCAAATTTAATATTTTTATGCGTCTACATGTACGTAACATTAGTGTACAGTACAGAGGTTTTATATAAATTTAGGATACTGTTCTACCCTTTGTTCTTA